AGTGTCTTGTTTTCTATAGTTTTTCTTACCTGGAATTTCATATCTGGCTATCAGGTAATATCTACCTGAAGCTGGCTCTTTGAGTCCCTCTTGTATTCTTTTTACCTCAAAGCGCTTCTTTTAGTCAGACAAGACATTCTGGACTGTGTCTTAACGTGTGTTCCTTTTTTTATTCTGAAAAATCATTTTCTTTGTTTCTTTGTCAAAATTCTTCTAATTCTTGAAGGTGGATTTGAACTGCTACTTCTTGCTCAAGTTTTTTCTGTTTTTAGCTGTAGACCAGAGAAGGGTGTATGTGTGTGGTTTTAATATAAATGTAGATTACCTCCTCAATTGGATTGTAACCCTTAGCTAGAAGGGGCCCTCTTGTAAACTTCTCAGCATTCATAATGTTTTTCATGTGATTTGCTTTTAGTAAGTATGGTCATTGATTCTGGGGATTGAAGTGAGGGTCTGATAGAACAGCAAAAGTATATTCCAATTAAATTGTCCAACTGTTTGCTCCTTTGTGCTTACTGTTTTAGTTAATATGCATCTAAGTTGCATAAGCAAACAGTAAAAATGGGTGTTAGAAATGAGAATAAGGCTGCAGCCTTGCAGTTTCCCACTAGTTGCCAGGATACAGAAAGGTCTCTGTTGCTTTTATTCTGTTTAAAAAAGTGTGTGATGGTTTGGTTTTTTATTTCCGCATATCCTTTTATATTTACTTATTAATTTTTATTTTGAAGTGCTATATTTTGCTAAATTAAATGTAGTCATTTAAGTTTAGTTATTTACTTTTAGGGACTAAAGCATTTTACTAAAAACAACAAAGGGGGAAAACAGCATTTAGTAAACATCTACTACACATCTGATACTGTGCTAATAAGTAAACATTCTTTATTCATTAAATAATTTGGCATGATATGTTCTCCTGTTTTTTGTGTGAGAAATTGCATAAGAGTTTATATTTAAAATCCAAATCTGTTGAATTCTGCCAGAGTATTGTTAGATAATCATAAGAGATGTTCTGTTTTGTTGCATTTGGCTGAGTCATGAGGCGTGCGGGGGATCTTAGTTCCCCAACCAAGTATTGAACTTGTGCCCCCTGAAGTGGAAGCAGAGTACTAACTTCTGGATCACCAGTGAATTTCCCCATAAGAGGTTTTTAGAGAGCAAAAGAATGAAGAGTAAATACTAAAGAGAAAATGCTGGGTTTTGTGAACCAGGAGAATCTTTTGGAATTGTTTCTTTGTTATATTTCTCACTGTGATTTTCAGTTTTATTCTTTGCCTGTTATCTGAATTCATATTTAATCAGCTATCTTATGTTTAATTTGTTAATTTATCAAAATAAACCATCAGGAGTGTTGCAGGACACATAACTGAAAAAGGAGAGTTGGTTAATATTGTAGTATTTTTGAAGTAGAAATTTAGGTTTTATTTTTAAAAACAAGTTCAGTATTGGGCAACTGGTGTATGCATTTAGATCAACAAGTAAATTTTAACATGAAGGTCAGTATTTGAGCATAGTAATCAGCAAAATTAGTGTTAATTTATTAAAAGTAAAATAGCTGATGCAAGATAATACTGAATCTAGGAATAAAGTAAAATCAAACATGTCTTAATGTACTGTACACTTATAAGAAACTGTTACTTTAGGGTTCTATAGTATAGACTATTCAGCAGTCTGTGTTAGATGCTATCTAATAGGATGATGAACTCCTGCCCCTAATGGAGGAGATAGGTTTCCTGTTCCGTATATGACATTTTGGGTGAGGTAACAGTACATTTTCTGGGAGATGCCTTTGGAAATACTGCAGCAGAGACTAATGAGACCTTAGACCAGAGCTTGCCATATTTGTGATTTTTCTGCAGAAGGTAATAGTAAAGGCATAAGACTTGATAGGCTTGTTAAATGATGTTTTACAAAGAACAACTCAGGAAATCTTGGAAAATACCCAGCCAGGTTTGAAAAAGGAAAGAGGAACCAGTGAAATGAAGAGATAGAAAACAGTCTTTGTATAGAAAAAGAAGTAGCATCAGATCCCTGCCATGAAAACACAGTGTAGGGTTTCAGTGAGTCAAAAGAGGCAAACGTTAAGATGAGAAAAACAAGGAAGTAGTCATTGATCGTTTTCTGTAGCTACTTTGAGTCACAGGTTGTCAGTTGGTTGTAGGAAGTGAAGGGACTGAGTGGTGTTAGGTGGAGGCAGCAGTTACAGATCACTGTCAAAGAATAAAAATGGAATCTTTCGGCTTTTAAATGTCTTTCTAAGATGGTGGAAACTGTTGTGTTAAAGGCAAAAAAGAAGGACTTTATAGAGAGGGAGAAATTGGAGCTACTGGTAAGGAAGGAAATAGTATTGGGAGGAAATTCTTGTAAGGAGAGTAGAGGAAGATACCAGAGTCAAGAGATAATCTCCATATTATGATGAAAGCAAAAAGACCAAGTTTTAAAATAAGTTTCTCCTACCTACAATGAAGATTATTCTAAATTATGTTTTTTAGTATCTTAATAGGGCTTCCCTGGTGGCTCAGCGGTGAGGAATCCGCCTGCCATTGCAGGAGACACTGTTCGATCCCTGGGTTGGGAAGATCCCCTGGAGAAGGAAATGGCAGTCCACTCCAGTATTCTTGCCTGGATAATCCCATGGACAGAGGAACTTGGCGGGGTCGCAAAGAGTCAGACACAACCTAGTGACTAAACAACAAAAAATATGCTAATATACTTTATTAAAATCTATAAAATTTCACATATACTTCTTTTAAATACACATGCAGAAGCCTTCCTTCAAAATGCTAGTCTTTTTTAAAATTAGATCCTATATAGGAAAGATTTTCACCCTGATCAGAGTTTCCAGGCAGTAAGTAGTAAAATGGGGCCAGAAATTCTTTCTTGGAGCTCTGGTTATAGGAGGGAATCAGGAATACGTTCATTCTCCAAAAGTAGACGGTAGTGTGCATTTTTATATGAATTTAAAATTTGAGCAAGGATAATATTTATTCATGCACATGGCCAAACTAGGGTCTGAGGATGAGAACTATACATTTTCATTTCCATTTGTAAGAAGGTTTCTTGAGTGTCTTAGGAAACTGCTTTCCTTTTAAAAATTGTTTTAAAAATATTCATTGAGTTCTTCATCAGACTCTTAATCGTAGCTATGAATGATGTAATAGGAAGTAGATGAATTAGGTTCCTGGTTTTCTTGAGATGACTTTCTAGTTAGATAAGTAAACAGATTATCAGCCTGTGTTCTCTCTTCAGTAAAGTGACCACTTAGTCATTTTACTTTTATTAAACACCAAAATAACTTCAAGATAAACCATAGACATAATGAAATATATCTAGGATTGGTCTGTTGCAGGAAAATGTGAATATAAAAAAATCTAAACTCATGTCTCAAATTAAGGAGAAATTATTAACCTTAAAAAGTGTTTAATATTAAGGGTTGGAATAGTAGTTGATTATTTTGAACTGTTTTTTTACTTTTAGAAACATTCTGTTTAAAGACAGATTTATTCAGTTGGATTAATAGAAGTCCTGTTGTATCAGATACGAACATTTAACTAACAATCTCTCTTCCATCAGATATAAATCAATATTTGCAGTTGAAGATATAAGGATATAGCACGATTTTGCTCAGTTTTTAAATATTTTATTTCAAAGAGTTGGCTGTTTTGGAAAGGTCAGCAAGTATTTTAAAATTTTTAGAGAGGAGAGAGAAAGATAGTATTTGCTTGTCATTCCATCTAGGTGTCATAGTATTGATTTACATGGAATATAGTTTACGGATAAAAAATTAGTACTTGCCTAAGATTATACCTGATACTTCTTTTTAGGTGAGTGGGTGGCAGATGTTTATATGTACAGGTTTTTAGCCACATTTCTGAAGGCTGATTTGCCTGGCACCTAGACTACTTTTTAAAGAAAAATATTTATTTATTTATTTGTTTGGCTGCACTGAGTCTTAGTTGTTTCTAATGGGATTTTTAGTTGAAGCATGTGGAATTTAGTTCCCTGACCAGGGATTGAATCCAGGTCACCTTTATTTGGGAGATCATAATCTTAGCCAGAGGACTACCAGGGAGATCCCCCAGGCCACTTTATTTATTTTTATTTCATTTTTATTTTATTTTATTTTTTTCCCCCCAGGCCACTTTAAATGGTAGAAATGTTCTCATTTGGGAACTTGAAAGTTGGTGCTTTGGAAGACTTCCTGTCTTTTAGAACCGAAGATTAGTACGTGTTTCTGTGGTGTCAGAGACAGGTTAGATGCCTTTGCCACTTCTAGAGAAATTGCTTCTGTTGTAATGGCAGTGTCAGGGTGAATTTAATCATGTTACTGTAGATACAGCCTAGTTACTCGAACCTTAGTTGTGGAGAGAGTATCTAGAGTGTCAGCCACCTGACAGTTTTGTGATTAGAACCTTAGAGGACTGAGAGATTATTGATAATCCTGTTACGTGTAGTTTAAAAAAAATCTTCCAACAGTGAAATAAAAAACATACTAAGCAGAAGGAGTCCTAAAAAAGACATCAGTTCTATTTACAAGCTGTGTGACCTTATTTGAATCTGTTTCCTTAGATATTAAAAAAGCAAAACTTTCAGGATAAAATAAAATGTGTCATAAAACAAAATACATACTGGCATGATGTGTGCAAAGGTACACTAATTTGAAGACAGATGGACAAGCAAACTTAAGGTGATAATATTGTACTTTTAATTTTTATTTGGTCATTTAATATAGGAGATGCATACTAAATCTAATGTCAGAATTTTTAGAAGGAAGGTTAATAAGAGAATGGAGAAATAGAAGTTAAATATAAGCCTATATTGAGTCTTTGAAATCATTCTTATTAAATCAGCATATTTTCATTTTGTGAAAGCATTGTAATAGAAATAACTAAGATCTCTTGGATTTTGATGAAAGCATGGTTGGTTTTTGTCGTTTTTTACATATATATGAAGAATAAGTACACATCTTTTCCTCTTCCTTCTCTTTAAACTTAAACTTGAAGGTTATGAATACCGATGGAACTGGGAGACGAGTGCTCGTGGAAGACAAAATCCCCCACATATTTGGGTTTACCTTGTTGGGTGACTATGTCTACTGGACTGACTGGCAGAGGCGGAGCATCGAAAGAGTGCACAAACGCAGTGCAGAGCGGGAGGTCATCATAGATCAGCTCCCTGACCTCATGGGCCTGAAGGCCACAAATGTTCATCGAGTCATTGGTAGGTAATTCCACAGCGCTCTTAGAGGATGAACCAGGAATGAGAAAAGATACAGTTAGCAGCTTATAAAGTCAGCAGTGTCAATTGTTGATGTTTTGACAGGATGTAAAAATCGTCTGTTAAGCCTTCTGTAATGAGAAATGGACCTTTTTTTTTTTCCCTCTTTTAAGGAGATTATTTAATTTGTTGAAACTCACAAAGTTAATATATTCTTTGTGGTACAAGTACATTTTATGTTTTTCTTAAAAATTTGTTGCCTTTTACTTCATACCCATGGTGTTTCATAGTGGCTAAGTCAAGGAAGACAGTGAACAGTTTTTAGACAATTACCTTCTTTCCAAGGGTGTATCAGTCAACTTTCTTCCACTTCCCACCGTCAAACCCAGATAAACGTCCCAGGAAAAAATACTCCAAATCACTTTCTTCTGGTTCCTGAAACCTCCAGACCAGTTTTCAGCGTATCGCCAAGTTCAGTGATACTTGTGGATGACCCAGTGCTGGGTACCATCTAGGCATCCATGAATAATTTTTGAATCAAGAAGTTTCTTTAAAGGTGTTTACCCAGGGACAAATGAGAACTCAAGTCATTGGATCGATTGGCAGGGATGGACCTTTAAATGTTGGTTCAATACTGGCTGCATAGTTTGAATTGAAGGGCTAAACTTAACACCCACACACTCTTGTCAGAAAAAGAACTTCTATTGTATGAATAATGCAGTTTGCTTAAAGCTTCCTTTGGGTACACAGGAAAGTAATTTTGTCATATGCTTATTCCCAGTTGATCAGCATGAGAGTTTTGACCTGCTCTGTTTTCAGTTCAGTCACTCAGTCGTGTCCGACTCTCTGTGACCCCATGAACTGCAGCACACCAGGCCTCCCTGTCCATCACCAACTCCTGGAGTTTACTCAAACTCATGTCTATTGAGTCGGTGATGCCATCCAACCATCTCATCTTCTGTCGTCCCCTTCTCCTCCCGCCTTCAATCTTTCCCAGCATCAGGTCTTTTCCAATGAGTCAGCTCGTCACATCAGGTGGCCAAAGTATTGGAGTTTCAGCTTCAACATCAGTCCTTCCAATGAACAGCCAGGACTGAATGAACACTTCTTTAGGTTGGACTGGGTGGATTTCCTTGCAGTCCAAGGGACTCTCAAGAGTCATCTCCAACACCACAGTTCAAAAGCATCAACTCTTTGGCACTCAGCTTTCTTTATAGTCCAGCTCTCACATCCATACATGACCACTGGAAAAACCATAGTATTGACTGGACAGACCTTTGTTGACAAAGTGTTGTCTCAGCTTTTTAATATGCTGTTTAGGTTGGTCATAACTTTCCTTCCAAGGAGTAAGCATCTTTTAATTTCAAGGCTGCAGTCACCATCTGCAGTGATTTTGGAGCCCAGAAAAATAAAGTCAGCCATTCTTTCTACTGTTTCCCCATCTATTTGCCCTGAAGTGATGGGACCGGATGCCATAATCTTAGTTTTCTGAATGTTGAGCTTTAAGCCAACTTTTTCACTCTCCTCTATCACTTTCATCAAGAGGCCCTTTAGTTCTTCTTCCCTTTCTGCCATAAGGGTGGTGTCATCTTATATCTGAGGTTATGGATATTTCTCCTGGCAATCTTGATTACAGCTTCTGCTTCCTCCAGCCCATCGTTTCTCATGATGTACTCTGCGTATAAGTTAAATAAGCAGGGTGACTATATACAGCCTTGACGTACTCCTTTTCCTATTTGGAACCATTCTGTTGTTCCATGTCCAGTTCCAGCTGTTGTTTCCTGACCTGCTCCATTTTCAGCTTGGGCCAATTCACCACTCCTGGGACATCACCATACTGCCACCAATTTAGTCAGACACCCAGTCAGCCTAGTACAGCTCCAGTCAGAATTCCTGGGCTGGAACCATCCTGCTCAGCCTCTGGCGTAGCTGGGACTACAGGTCTGCACCAGTGTTCTGGCCTTTCATTCCCTGTTAATCCTCATAATGCTTGTTTGTGAGATTAGAACTGAAACTTTACATTTGGGGACAGATACAATCCTAGTTCTTTGTCAAGGAGATGCCTAGTCATTTAAATTGAAAATGTGTTGATTATGTCTATTGTGTGTCCTTTTATAATGAATTTGTGTTTTAGGTTCCAACCCCTGTGCTGAGGATAATGGGGGATGTAGCCATCTCTGCCTCTATAGACCCCAGGGCCTTCGCTGTGCCTGCCCCATTGGCTTTGAACTCATCAGTGACATGAAGACCTGCATTGTCCCAGAGGCTTTCCTTCTGTTTTCACGAAGAGCTGACATCAGGAGAATTTCGTTGGAAACTAATAATAATAACGTGGCCATTCCACTCACTGGTGTCAAAGAAGCTTCTGCTTTGGATTTTGACGTGACAGACAACCGGATTTACTGGACTGACATATCACTCAAGGTTAGCCAAAGAATTGGAATATTAGAACTGGGGACTAGTGGGGAGAGCTTCAAGATTTTCTGAGTCTTCATGCTGTTACCAGCTTCCTTCATTACTTAATGGGCGAGAGTTCAATAAAAAACCCTTAACATTTTAAAGGAAGCCAAGGAGAAGGCCCATTCAGTATTTTGTTAAGTATCTCTAGTATTTTTAGTGCAAGATAGTTTGAGTATTCTAAATCTGCAAGACATAATCTTCCTCTGTTTCATTCTATTTGAATACATAAGTGACATTTTCCTCAGCTAGAGAGTAAGCACTGTATTCTTCACATAAATGGCTTATAGAGACTTGACTCTTAGTTTATTAAAAAAAATTTTTTTTGACACCTGACTGAGGTAGAAAATGCCAATTATGAGTTATTGCGTACCTTCTCTCCCCTGCCCCTCCCATCCCTAGAATAAATTGACAAGCTTACTGAGTCAGTAAGGAGGGGCTCTTGACCAGAGAATCTAGAGCATAATTCTTCCTTCTTCCAGATTCTTTTGGACCTGTTTTAGGTAGCTTATGTAAAACTTTGTCTAATATGCAAAAATCGTATTAGAGCCAGAGTTAGACTGCAATGGTGGTCAGTAAAATCTGTTAAATGAGTGAGTAAATAAATGCTTTATTGTGTGGGCTTGTGAGTTTCCTCATCTTGAAAGCAGAGATAATGCCTATCTTGCAGTGCTTTTGTGAGCATTAAATGAGAAAATATATGTACACCAAACACTTAGGATGGCACTTTCCATGCAGTAGGAGCTATTATTAGTAGCTTGAATTATGACTATTTTAATTTTTAGGGGATTCATAGCTACAGTGGTAATGATATGATTAGTGTCATATGCATTTTATAAGGTGTCAGGTTGTTGAGCTCTTCCTCAGTTGATGCAATGACTTTGCATACTCTCAAGCACCTTTAGGAAGCTGTGTGTTTGTTAGTTGCTCAGTCGTGTCTGATTCTTTGCAACCCCATAGACTGTAGCCCACCAGGCTCCTCTGTCCATGGGATTCTCCAGGCAAAAAGACTGGAGTGAGTTGCTATTTCCTTCTTCATGGGATCTTCCCATCCTAGAGACCAAACCTGGGCCCCTTGCAATGCAGGCAGATTCTTTACCATCTGCGCCACCAGGTTGGAAGTCAGGAAGCTGAAAGTCAGGCAACTGACTACCAGTTAAAAGTCTACAATACTCTGGTCACATCTTTTTCACTTGATTACTAATACGTTTTACAAGAATAGTCACTCCACTGTTTTCCTAGAATAAATTTCTGATTATTAAGACTTTGAAAAATTTCTCCCTGAATTGACAGTGAAACTTGAGGTTGCGGTTGTGTTCATTGGAGGTTGACGTCTTTTTTTTTTTTTTTTTTACTGTGCTCATAAAATATGTGAAATTGTATTGAGAAACTGTGCCTTTGGCTCTTCTGTATCTTCCCTTAAAACCTTAGGGTTTTGTATCTAAGCCCTGTGACAACGTTGTTAATCTTATTTCTGCAGACCATCAGCAGAGCCTTTATGAATGGCAGTGCCCTGGAACACGTGGTAGAATTTGGCTTAGATTATCCGGAAGGCATGGCCGTAGACTGGCTTGGGAAGAACTTGTACTGGGCAGACACGGGAACCAATCGAATTGAGGTGTCAAAGTTGGATGGGCAGCACCGGCAAGTTTTGGTGTGGAAAGACCTAGATAGTCCCAGAGCTCTTGCGTTGGACCCCGCTGAAGGGTAAGCAGCTTTTCATATGCATTCTTTGCAACAACTGTATTGCGCATGGCCTAGTTATGGATTATATTCTTGATGTCTTTAAATCATGCTTATTAGGAAGCTGACAGGTAAATCATAGATAGGTTTTATCTTAAAATCATTAGTTGAGATTTCACTGATTTAGAATTAATAATTAGCTGAATTTTACTTTTGTCATTATTAGCATTAGGTGACTAAAAATTAGTGAAATGGGTTAGTAATGAAATACTAATGATTGTATTTATATGCTAAGTACACAGCCTTTTGAAAGGTGTCATGAAGTCTGTTTGCTTGCACTCTCTCCCAAGTTATACCAGATTCTAAACCTGTGAAAATAAACCCACTGAGATAATGTGAGCTAAGAAATAACTACATTAAAAAGCTCTACTTTAGAATGTTCATTAATTCAAAAAGGGATAATTAGTTATTATTATAAACTTGGAGAAACTTTGATATTAAACAGTGAACTTTCTGATAAATTTATTTACAACATGACATGTTTTTCAAGGGTAGATGATCCTTCTTACATGATTTAGCAAGTTTTAAAAAAAGAACTGTATAGTCAAGGCTACGGTCTTCCCAGTGGTCACGTATGGTTGTGAGAGCTGGACTGTAAAGAAGGCAAAATGCCAAAGAATTGATGCCTTCAAACTGTGGTGCTGGAGAAGATTCCTGAAAGTCCCTTGGATAGCAAGATCAAACCAGTCAATCTTAAGGGAAATCAACCCTGAATACTCATTGTAATGACTGATGCTAAAGCTGAAGCTCCAGTATTTTGGTCATCTGATGTGAAGAGCTGACTCATTGGAAAAGTCCCTGATGCTGGGAAAAACTGTGGGCAGAGGGAGAGGAGGGTGCCAGAGGATGAGATGGCTGGATGGCATCCCTGATGCACTGAACATGAACTTGGGCAAACTCTGGGAAATGATAAGGGACTGGGAGGCCTGGTGTGCTGCAGTCCATGGGGTCAAAAGAATCGGACACAACTGGGCGACTGAACAACAACAACAAAAACCCATCATGTAAGAAAACTGAATTTTGAAGAATAACTCCATTTTAAAAAGCAGAAGTTAACCTTGTAAACATATCAGCACATTGACCATGGCTATATTGAAAAGTTGTTTCCCTGAATCAGTCAATTCCATGGTTAGCTTGCTGGCCATGTAGTTAGAAAGTCATACCAAAGGCACCATCTCTATGCTGACATGTTGTGATTGGTCTATGGTGATTTTTACTCTAGGTATTAGTTACCAGACAGATAAATTTAGTAGTTGGGAACCGACTCTAGTTTACGTGGCTGCTGGCAACTGTGATATTTCTCCCACAGTTGTTTTCTCTTTGGCTCTTGGGATGTACTCGTGCCTGTTAGCTGACAAGTACAAATGCAAACAAAGCCCAAGGCAACTTGAGTTTTCAGAAAAGTGTGTTTATACATTGCTACCAAGTCAACCATCAGCTCATGGACTGATGAGTGAATGTCTCGTTTGGGTAGTTGATGAGACGTGGCATGCGGAGAACTTTCCTAGACCCAGTATTCAGAGTGTCTTGAAACTAGCACTGCTGGTTCAGTCCAAAAGGCATTTGGCTGAGAATTACCTTCTAGTTCTAGCTCTGCCATATGACTGGCTTGAAGACATTAGACAGATCAGTTGCACTTTTTGTAGGGCCTTGTCCTCCTCTTCTGCAAAAGTCTGTACTGTGCGGCTGCTCTCCAGTTAACGTGAAAAACCCAAAAGAGTACATTCACAGGGACTGTAGTAGTAGTGTTCATTGCTCGGCTGATACACTAAGGGATGTGTGTGATTCGGTAGTGTGCCACCTCGGACAGTGTGACCAAATGCATTTGAAACTTTCCTTTTAAACTTCAGTTCACAGTTGTTAAGTTGTCCCTTTGATGTACTGCTGCAGCTTGGTTTTTGGGAGAGTGATTTACACAAATCAGAAAGTAAGTTTTAAAAATTTAGAAACTCTAATTACTCGTCTTCAGAAATACATGTATTTTGTTCTGAAGTGAGTCAAATTCTGAGACTAGTGCTTTAATCCTTTGCTATCTTCTTCTTGAATATTAGTTTTATAAATGCAAGTGCTGCAGTAAGGAAACCATGGGTTTGTTTCCAATTCCTAGGTTTTGGATGGAACAGATTCATTGGAAACACTAAGGAAAGCTGACTCACTTCCTTTTTAGGATATGAGAAAAAATATTTAGTTGAGACTGCCAATGTAATTGAAAAAATTAATAGCTATGATTTTGCTTTGCCAATTTCCTTGATTTAGTGTATATTTTCTTTAAATTTACTTAGTTACTCTAACTTTCAGTACATAAATATGATCCTTTCTCCCAAATAATCAAAAGTGAAATGTTAAATATCCATTGGTTTGAATTTAGATTTATGTATTGGACTGAATGGGGTGGAAAACCTAAGATAGACAGAGCTGCCATGGATGGAAGTGAACGTACTACACTAGTTCCAAATGTGGGACGAGCAAACGGCCTAACTATTGATTATGCTAAAAGGAGGCTTTATTGGACAGACCTGGACACCAACTTAATAGAGTCTTCAAATATGCTTGGTAAGCTCTATTCTTTTTTTGTTCAGAGAGATAGTATATAATCCTTTCCGTGCAAAAATCAGTGGCTGCTGTTTACCATAGATTAGATATGATACAGTTTATAAAACTTCATATGAATGTCTAGGTTCATCCTCTGTCTCACATTGTATCCTATTTATTAATAGTGGGCCAAGTACTTGGATTCATATCTCTTTAATATGTGGAATTTCATTACTGTTGGGCTTATAATGAAATTTATAACTCCCTGGATATTTCTGAAGTGACTTTTTGTAGCAGTAAAATACAATATATACATTTCCATCTTTTTATGGAAGGAAAAAGAGTTGAACTGTAGACCTTTATGGAGGGAAAATAAGACCACAATCAAAATAGACCATCTACAGGAGTTTAAACAAACTCAGTGATTTTTAGAACAAAAAAAATATTAGTTTGAGGTATGGGTTCAGACTGCAGATGGATTGATTTCAGAAGACTTGTCTGGTTTAAGAATTGCTTTTGAAGGAATTCTTCTACTTTAAATTGCTTACAAAAGTAATGTTTTAAATGTTGCCTTTTCTTTTTCTTTGCCAACAAGACTCTCACTTTCTCATGTATTACATCTTTCTGCGTCTCCCCTGTCTGCTGCCTTTCTGAAAATAGGACTCAACCGTGAAGTTATAGCAGATGATTTGCCTCATCCTTTTGGCTTAACTCAGTACCAAGATTACATCTACTGGACGGACTGGAGCCGACGCAGCATTGAGCGTGCCAACAAAACCAGTGGCCAAAACCGCACCATCATTCAAGGCCACTTGGATTATGTGATGGACATCCTCGTGTTTCACTCCTCACGGCAGGCAGGATGGAACGAGTGTGCTTCCAGCAACGGGCACTGCTCCCACCTCTGCTTGGCTGTGCCAGTCGGAGGTTTCGTTTGTGGATGCCCTGCCCACTACTCTCTGAATGCTGACAACAGGACTTGCAGTGGTAAGCTGCATTCCCCCCCTCAATGCAAACTTAAGTTAGAAGAAGAAGCAGACTTTTGAAAACACTGTAGTTCATATTCTTTCTAGAGTGAGAAGTTGTCAAAGTCCAGAGTTGATCATTTGTTTGTATAAAAGGGAAGGACTAAAAGTGAAAAAGTGCAAGTTTTTGTTATTTTTGTTCTATGATAACTGGTTGATGTTATGGAAAAATTGATATTATAGGAAAAGTAAGTATTTTATCCTTGGGGATTAAATATGAATAGCAAAATTTGCATAGCTTCTTTGAGAGAACATGCATGTGTGCTAGACATAATTCATATTTATTCATGGTGAAGGAGGGAAAGAACAGTACAAATAGTACAACAAAGAGACTCTGCAAAATATAATCTACTTGTCCTTCGAAGTTTGCAGAATAGGCTAAAGATGAAAAATGTAAGTGTGCAAGAGGCCAGGCTTATGAGTAAATGTAGCCAATATGAAACAATAGTAAGTAGATGGGGAGGCAAGTTAGAGAGCACAGGCTCTGAACACACTGAGTGGTTGCCACCTTATTCTAGCTAATGGTACCAGGTCGTCTCATCTAGCCACGAGTCTGGGTTCACACGCACAAAGACAGACAGACAGACACACACACACACACACACACACAGTCTGCTTGGAACACCAGGCCACGAATCTGGGTTCACACGCACAAAGACACACACACACACAGAGTCTGCTTGGAACACCAGGCCACGAATCTGAGTTCACACACACAAAGACAGACAGACAGACACACACACACACACACACACTCTGCTTGGAACACCAGGACACGGTGTATAACAAAACATTGTTGGCTTGGGGAATCCTGATTTGTGACTCAGGTTTATGTGAAGGTCCATGTCTTTTGAATACATGAGAACAAATTAGAAATTGGTAGATACGATAAAGAAATAGAGAATTAGATCAGGAAATGTAGATTCATAGGAGAAAGGTAGGGTATGGTTCACTGTGTTACAAGGTAACAGCTGCTGTAGGACATTGCATATAATGAATGACTGAAATTACTGTATTCTGTGCCTGAAAGTATAGGGGTCACATAGGCAAGGAGTTAGTGTTCTCACACAAGGCTGAGTTCTGAAAAAGAAGGGGCTTCAGTTTATAGGTGAATGATCTGCAGTCTGTGTCACACATTAGTTTGTGTTTTACTAAAGCAAGTCACAGATTTTTTAAGCCTTTTGATTTTTCTTATTTGGACAGTGGGAATAGTAACAGTAATTACCTTGTAGGATTGCTATGAAAATTGAGTAAAGTATAGCATGATTTGATTGCTGTGGAGAATGGATTTGAGGAGGAAAATAAGTGGAAGCAGGTCGGTCAGTCAGACTGCTGTGATAATGCAGGTTAGTTTGAACTGGGGTGGTGGAAGTTGTGCAGAGATGTTGATGGATTCAAGGTATATTTTGAATGAACCAAACTTGTTAATGGATTGTATATGAAGAAGGAGAAGAGGGAGGAAGCAGGATGATGCCTAGATTTTTTATTTGAGCAGTTGATAATAAATGGGAAAGATTAATTTTCAAGAAGAATTAAAAAGTAATTTTAGTCAAGTTTATATTGATTTTCCTATGGGAAATAGAAACATTAAATAGGTAATTGGATAGAGGAATCTCTAGCTCAGAGAAGAAGAAATGAAGTTAGAGGCATAAATTTTAGAAATGCCAGCATGGATTTAAAATGGGCACTTAGGGAGAAGGTGTATACCTGGGGGTCAGCAAACTTTTTCTTTAATGAGCCAGAGAGTGAATATTTAGGCTTCTTGAAGCCTGTAGTCTCTCACACACCTCTTCAGCCCTGCCCACTGCGATGTGAAAGCAGCCACAGATGATTTGTTTTTAAAATTGGATCAATTCTGATAAACTTTGTTACAAAAATAGGCAGCAGGCCAGATGTACCTTGTGGGCCATAGTTTGCCAGTTCCTGGTCTGGAGAAAAGAAGGGGTCTTGGTAACCTCAGGAGCTCTGGTTGAGAAGGGAAAGTTCTCAGTAGACATTGTGGAGCAGCAACCAGAGAGGCCAAAGGATAGGACCCAGAAGGCGGGAGAGAAGATTGTTTTAGAGTAGGTCTGTATGGTGAGTGCTGCTGAGAGGTTGAGTAAGGGAAGCCTAAATTACCCACTGGATATTTGGGTGAGGTGGTTGTTAGTAATCCTGAAAGAAAGTAATTTCAGGAAAGTAACAGCAAAAGATGGAAATAGACCAACAAGTGAATGGAACCCAGAAAGGGATTGATAGTGTGTGTTTGTCATGTAGATTTTTTTTTTTTAAAGGAGTTTGACTTTGGAAGGAGAAAATAGGGGTAAGAAGTGATGGAGGATGGAGATAGAAGAATATGGAAAGGCCTTTCGAGGTCATTGTTTGGGATGTTTATACCAGAATGTTCTAGTTGGTGAATGAAGGTTATGAGAAATCACTGCTGAGTGTCCCTGATGTCTGTCTAGGGCCATTTCTGAGATGATCAGCAATGTTTCCAGAGGCTTCCTGTCCATGTATTCTTTTTTTGTAATGTGTATTATTTAATATTTGCGCAGAGATGTATTAAATCCCAAAGAAGATTACAAGAGAAGTTTAACACAAAGTACTTACCCTCAGAAAGTTTTCTAACGTTGTGTTGTTTACTCCTGGACCTGTGTTTCAAAAGCTAAATCAGATCATGGCCTTTCTCTACTCAAAATCTGTTTCACAAGGAGTAAAAACCTCATTCTTCTAATGACCTACAAGTTCCTGCATGATCTGTGCCTTCACAGCCTCCCCACTCCCTTGCTTCTCTGACTTCAGCTTTTACTGTTCTCTCTCTCTCTCCATGGCAGCCACACTCGCCTCGGTGCTCTTTTCACATGTGCCAGTTACTCCTACTTCAGGACTGTGGTACTGCGCAGTTCTTCTACTGGGAATGTTTTCCTGCGAATATTTGCATGCATATACTTCACCTCCATGTCTTGACTTAATCGTGACCTCCCCAGAGAGACCTAATCTGACCTATTTAAAGTTGTAAGTCCTCCTTCACCCAGTCTTGCGTTGCCAGTGCCCTTACCTACAATTCTTTTTCCCATGACTCTTAATCACTCTCCAGTATGCTATGTAATTCATTACTTATATACTATAGCGTCTTTATTATGTTTATTACTTACTGTCTGTTTATTGGAATATAAATTCCATGAAGCAATTTTTTTCCCCTGTTTTTTTAACTGATGTATATCTAAGGTGCCTAAAATAGTTTTCGGGTAAATAGTAGTCATTCAAGAAATCATTGTTCAGTAGAAGAACGAAGAAGCAAGACAGGATTTGGAAAAACAGGTGCTTTTCCATTCAGCAGCTTTGTGACCTGCGGACAATTACTTAACCTTTCTTTAAAAATTAGTTAACTATTCTGTTTGCTCACCTGTAAAGTGGAATAATTTAGGGGACTAGAAGACATCTAGTATGATGTGTGGCATGCTGGAGGTTCTAAGTAAATGCTTGTTTCTTTTTTTCCCCCAGTTCTTGGAAATAATTTTATTTTCTTTCAAAATCATGGCTATAGGGCTCTCCTTACCGATGTCATCTCATGCTTGTTTCTTCATTTGTTTACTCATGTATTCTTTCAGTGAATATTTACTGAACAGCTAATCCACACTGGGCATTATTTGAGCCAATGAAAACTGTATCGCTGAATGAAACAGATATTAATCCCTGCCCTTGTGGAGGTTACATTCCATCGGGATAGATACTGAACTAAATAAGTAAACTATATCATGAGGTAGATGGAGATGAGTGTTATGGAGAAAATTATGAGCAGGAAAGGGTGAGTAGGAGGATCTTGATGTTAAATAGGATCATGAGAGAAGTCCTGGCATAAAAGTGATACTATGTCAGGAACTGAGGGAGGTGAGGAAATGAGCTGTGCTGGCTCTCTGGGAGAAGACCTGTCAAGCAGAGGGGAACAGCAAATACAGAGGCCCTGCGGGAAACATGTCTGGCATGTTGGACAAACACCTGGGGGCCAGTGTCTCTGGAACAGAGTGTAAAGAAATTAAGTCAGAGAGGAAGCAGGAGGCCACATTGTGTAATCCTGTGTTCAGTACTGAAGCAGTTGGCCTCTTTGGCAGCTTTGTGCAGATTGAGAAAAGGTGTTTCCTCTGGGCACATGCAGCTGCCCAGGTTCTTGACTTGGCTACCCAGGTGTGGCCTGGAATTCAGTCCCTACTCGAGGCCTTTGGCACAGCTCAGAGATGGCACAGTCCAACGTGGTGGGCCTGGGCTTGTCACTTACAGTGTTCATACGCCAGAGTGGAACCTTTCTTTAAGCATTGGGAGAACACTTGTGTCTTCAGAGGAGGGCTGAAAAGCTCCTGCCTGTTTACACCTCCTCCTCCAGCTCCTGCATGTGGGAGTGCAGCACTGAGGCAGCCCGACAGGACCATTTGAAAACCCTTCTGCAGGAGACGAGGGGATGGTGGTTACAGGCGACATAAATCATCGTGGGTTTAGGCTTACAAAACTGCATATTCTTCGTCCCTTTTGTAAATAACTCAAAACATCAGCTTCCTCCTGGAAATATTTAGCCAGCTGAAATTAATGTCATCCATAGACTTTTTGAAATGAGTATTTATTTGGAGCCATATTTGGCTTTGTCATCATCTATGTTTCTAGAACACCTAATCGTGATCGTGAAAGCTTATTAAAGGTTAAAATTTGACTCAGGGAAAGAAAAAAACAGTACAAAGTGAAACATAACTAGGAACCAAATATATATTGATTATTTTCCAGGCAGGAAAATTTGGCAGCTAAAACTGGGGGGGTCTTTCTTCTGAGTTTCATTGTATGTTTTAATATGCTGTTTTTTTGGAAGCTTACACAGGACCTTTTTTTTCCCTATTTTCTTGATTTACAAGGAAGTAGTACTGCCAAAGAATAATTCTTTTTTTTAAAAAAATGGGACACTTGTTACCTACTCTGTTGTGACGTGTATTCTTATTACTTAAGGTGTTGGTTCTACTAAAATTGCTGAAAGCTGTTAAATCAGTGTGCTGTGGAGTCTACACAATGGAGAGTTCAGTGGAGTCATTGAAATATTTCTAAATCTTCCAAGCTAGGCATGGACTTTCAGCCAGTGGGGAGCTTAAAGCAGAATTTCAGGGTTGTGAATACCAAGTTTCTTTGTGAGAAGCCATGATTTCTTCAAGATTTAAGCTGATGTATATCTGGGTGTAGGTGTAACATCAACCTGGGAACCACAAGTAAGGGCACTGTGAAGATGGGGTTTAGGGAGAGATAAAGCAAGGAGTTCTGTTTTGGCCATTTATGTTTATATCACTGATAAGGACAAAATTCTGCTGGATTTAGGTGATGACTGAGCAACAAGAGAAGAGAGTATAATTTGGGGACTTTTTTCATTTATTTTAATGAAGATTTTAAAAAAGACTGTTAGACTTTGAAGTTTTTGGTAGCTTTGTCAGATGGTGTTCTTTTCTAGATACTCTCCTCCATTAAAGATGACTGCATAGTAATCAGAGGCCTAGTCCCTGGGACAGGGAAATGTCTTGGCTGCATTTCCCTGTTTTCATAGGCATCAGGCATCAACTTAGCGTGTGACTTTTTTTTTTTTAATGGTTCCCTCTCCTTGCAACAATTACATCCCCACAATGTAAAACAAAGCCTTTATCTACGACCCATGAGGGTTTGTTTCATTCCTACTAACACCACATTTATTATTGCCACTACTGATAATAAGAAACAATAGCTATTTTTACTTGACATTTATATAATGCCTTATAGTTTTTTTGTTCAGGTATTGTACAATTGGGGCTTCCCTGGTGGCTCAGTAGTAAAGAATCCTACTTCCAATGCAGGAGATGTGGGTCCAGTCCCTGGATCAGGAAGATCCTCTGGAGAAGGAAATTGCAACCCACTCCAGTATTCTTGCCTGGAGAATCCCATGGGGAGGAACCTGGCGGGCTACAGTCCTTGAGGTTGTAAAAGAGGCATAACTTCGTGACTAAACAACAGCATTGTACAATTGACATAATACCTTTTTATTTTTACTTATGTTATAAAATTCTTGTAGCAACTCAGTGAGCAGGATAGCCTAACTATAACCTTCTAGTTGAGTAAATTTTGACCCAAGGAGGTTGAAGGTTGTAGTTAAGATCAAGTGACTAAATCATGTGAGAACTGAGACTAAAACCAATCTTGAAGTCTCTTTTCTGACCTGTGGAGACCCAGACTTCCTTTCACCCACAAAAATAGGTGATGGAGGAGTTAGATTATTTACTTGGTAGACAGGGGAATTTTTGTTTGTCAAATGATTCATTGAAATAGGTGTCCTGTGATGATGCCACTGTGGACAAGACAGAGAAAAACTGGCTAGTTGGCTGTGTCATGGCGTAAATTCATAACTGGTTTAGTAACCAGAGTGTGATCAGTGTTTCCTTTAAGAGTTCTGGAGGCATTCCAGAGGGTTTTGTCTCATATATGTCTTCAACATACATGTCTGTTTTTTGTGAAATACAGACAACAGGCCGATGAAATCTTTCAGTGATCCGAGACTTAGGATAACTGTTTCATATTTGCTTTTTTCTCTCTCTAAGCTCCAACTACTTTCCTACTCTTCAGTCAGAAGAGTGCCATCAACCGCATGGTGATTGATGAACAGCAGAGCCCTGACATCATCCTTCCTATCCACAGCCTTCGGAATGTCCGGGCCATTGACTATGACCCCCTGGACAAGCAACTCTATTGGATTGACTCACGACAAAATATGATCCGAAAAGCACAAGAAGATGGTAGCCAGGTAATCCAGGGTTCATTTCAAAATCCAGTTCTTCTGTGTAGTTATTGGACCAACCAACCATCCTATTTTACTTATGTCATGACTCTTCTTGTGTGTGTGTATGTGTGTGTGTGTGTGTGTGTGTGTGTGTGTGTGTAAAACTGGAATTCTGAACCTGGCAGCTTTTTTTCTCTCCTTTGATCTTTGAGTAAACAGTTGTTTGCTAATGCTATTGAAATGAAGATTGTATTGTATTAAAATAACTTCTGCTCATATATTAGAATGACTTTGTCAGTGCCACCCATATTCATTTACATTCCATTTTATTTTTTGTTTCGTTTACATGGAGTGTTGGAAACTTTGAAAGCAAATAGACTCTTGGTTCTAATCTCAGCTCTGTCACTTACTAGGATTCTTAAGAAATTTTCGGTGAAAGGAATGTAAAGCACATAGCCCATTACCTATTACACAGTAGGTACTCTATAAATAATAGTTCTTTTACTAGTAACTATTATTTAAAAGTTTCAGAGAATGGGAAACATAAAACACAATCTCAGTAAAATTAAAAGCATCTAAAAGCATCTAATGTTGTTATTAATCTAATGGTTTTTGGTTTTGTTTTTGTTTTGTAAATATTACTTGGTGTCTGTGGCATAGCAATGAAAATATTATCAACACATCTTCTCTGTGCTTACATTCTAATCATGAGTCACACACTACTGTCCATAGTTCTTTGTTTTCTTTCTGTGTCCCAGCAGTATTATACCAGGATCACTGTAAACAATTATTTGTCATCTTCCTTGTAGCACTAATATTAAGTTAGATTTTTAATGTATGAAAATTAGATTGCTAATTTTTTTTATATCTTATCTGACAAAAATAAGCAAGGAGATAATGTATTTAGGTCTGCTGAGAGATCATTTAAGGTATAGTTATAGCTGTGTATTACAGATGCACTTTATACTGTGTAGGCCAGGACTGATTGGCTGATAACTAGTTGATAGAGATTGTAACTGTTGTTATATAGCCAAGGACGTAGCAAATAAATGAGACAGCCTCATTAAGGAGTGTTACCTTGGAGATGCTGAGTAAATAAAATACCATTCATTCAGATAAAACAGATGAACAATGCCTGTTTTTTGCTAGGGTGTTTTTTGTTTTTTTTTATAATTGTTTTGAGGGGTTAGATTTGAGGATTAGAGGACTTGACTGATAGATGTGGTTTGTAGCCCTGACTAACTGCTATTGTCTCTAGAACAGAGATTCTCAGCTTCTGCACTATTGACATTTTTGGCTGGATAATTCTGTGTGGGGTAGGTCTGACCTTTACATCATATTTTAGCAAGGCTAAAGAATGTTTAGCAAGGCTTCCCCAACAGTTCAGCAGGTGAAGAATCCACCCGCAATGCAGGAGACACGGATTGCATCCCTGGGTCGGTTAGATCCCCTGGTGAAGGAAATGGCAACCCGTTCTAGTATTCTCGCCTGAGAAATCCCATGGGCTGAGGATCCTGGCAGGCTACAGTCCAAAGGATTGCAAAGAGTTGGACATGAGTGACTAGCACGCATGCACTGGCCTCTGCCCCTTTAAAAGCCAGTTATATTCCCTTACGTGTAACAGTCAAAAATGTCTCCAGACATTGACTGGTGTCCCTGGTGGGTGGTGGTTTAGTTGAAAAGTCATGTCCGACTCTTGCGACCCCGTAGACTGGACTATAGCCTGCCAGGCTCCTCTGTCTATGGGATTCTTCAGACAGGAATACTGGAGTTGGTTGCCATTTCCTTCTCCAGGGGCACTTGAAATGCAGAATTGCTCCTGGTTGAGCACCACTGCTTTAGAGCTATTTCTAGAGTGTTCTTCTAGCCACAGTTGTCTCTAGTTTATAGGAAGCAGCTGCCACCTTCTCACTCCCATCTCTGATCAATGCACTCTCATGTTCTTAGAGCAACTGAAACAGCCTCTGTCTCTCTTCTGCTTTATGTCATAATAACCAAGGGAACATTGGAAATGTTCACTAAGAAATGTCCCTTGAGATTTGAGTGTTCCACTCAGGTGTGTGACCACATACGTGCAAGTATTGTGAGTAATCCCAGGGCTGTCTGGCTTGGAGTCTCATGTTCTGTGTGTGTTTCTTTTTCTCTCCTTAGGGCTTTACTGTGGTTGTGAGCTCAGTTCCGAATCAGAACCTAGAAATCCAGCCCTATGACCTCAGCATTGATATTTATAGCCGCTACATCTATTGGACTTGTGAGGCCACCAATGTCATTAATGTAACGAGGTTAGATGGGAGATCAATTGGAGTGGTGTTAAAGGGCGAGCAAGACAGACCTCGAGCCATTGTGGTAAACCCAGAAAAAGGGTATGTTGCCAGCAGGGCGTCTGAAACCCTCATCAGCTTTCCTGTTTATCCCACTTATATTCTTGCTTTCTCTGTTTCTCTGCCTAGAATGTCCTTCCTTAGTCATTGCTGCTGTATCTGTCATTTCTACCCACACCTCCAGAACCGCTGGAACTATGTCGTCCTCCACTAATTTCCCCTTGACCTCCCCTGTGCCACCCCCCCCAAATGTGACATCCTCCTCTCTTAAATGCCCACTAGTCTATATCTGTGCCTCTTTAGTCCTTTCCAGTTTACCTTATACTTGATTATTTTCAGGCTTATATTTTCTCGGCTTTAGGTTCCTTTATGGTAAGAACTAGTATGTCTTTAATACAGAGCTTTGCATTCAATTAATAGTACTTAATTTAATATGAATGAATGATAAGGAATTCAGCAAGGAAAGTAGCTTACTTCAGAAGAGCTACAGGAAAGAGATGAACTGAAGAAGTTAAATGTAAGAAATAATTCACATATGACCTTATTTTCAGTTATGAAATGGAACAGAAACTTGAAAGTTTGTGTCCAAATCTGATTACTGCTATTATCTTTTATTTATCATATTATTCCAAAAGCATAAGTGTGCCTGTGTCTAACACTTTGTTTTATTAATTCCTGGAAGTTAACTCCCTAAGAACTTATGTGCAGCCTTTGTTACTGTTTTTGAAATTAAGAAATGTATTCCATGATCTTTAAAATATACTCTAAAACCTTAAAAAATTACATTTAGTACTATTCTACTTCCTTTTGTCTTAACAGAAATATTCTCATTTTGTGTGGTTTCTTACTTTAGTAAACTTAGAGTTTCCTCCTTTCTTTTCAGGTATATGTATTTTACCAATCTTCAGGAAAGGTCTCCCAAAATTGAACGAGCTGCTTTAGATGGAACAGAACGGGAAGTCCTCTTTTTCAGTGGTTTAAGTAAACCAATTGCTTTAGCTCTTGATAGCAAATTAGGCAAACTCTTCTGGGCTGATTCAGATCTCCGGCGAATTGAAAGCAGTGATCTCTCAGGTACCCAAGAAATATTATTTCTGTTTCAATAATTGAGATGATTCACTGATAGCATTTGTATTTTCCTTCTGTTGTATTATACATATTTCTTTATAGTTTTATTCACTAAGAGTAGTCAGCAGCAAGTAGGTTGGGAAGCACTTTTTCTTTAACCATCAACATGATTACTCCATCTGTTATCTAAAAACTTGCCAATTTTCTTGATTTGGGCTCTGTAAATAGTATGTTTCTAATGCATCTCTCCTCTTTTTCTAATTCTTCCACTCTACTTTACTTCTCATCATCTCTGGCCTGAATTCTAGCCTATGATTAGTCTCCTCCCTGTTGATTTTTCCTCCCTGAAAGTTTACACACTGTTCCTAAATTAATTTTCCAAAGCATGGTTTCTAATCATGTCACTGCCATATTGAAAAACCCTCCAGGGTAGTCTCATAACCCAAAGAAAAAAGTCTGGTTGAATGCTTAAGTTTGTATTTGTCTTTCACAGACTCATCATAAATGCAAATGATCTTAACATTCCTGTGTGTTTTAATGAAATTAAATAATTTCATTAAATTCGTTGATCTTCAGATGTACTTTTCATCTCTCTGTGACCTTCGGTTTACAATCACAGTTGTTCCCACAGCCCCAGTTTCTGAAGTCCAGATACTCTGTGTGGACTTAACGGTGATCGAGGAAATGAAATTAAAATAATACACTGTATGAGAGCCATAAAATATAAAGTTGATTATTCCTAGCATTGGCCAGAAAGGTAACAAGTGGCATGCTCTCATATACTTTTGTGAAGTGAAATTGGTAGAACCTTTTCAGAGGGAAATGTGCTGGTGAATTTCCGTTTCAGAGAGCTGTCTTACAGACAACTGATGTATTTGCTGAGCATTCTTTGTAATATGTACAAAAAAATACATCTAAGTGTATTAAGTGTGTGAAATATTATTCAATAGATGAGGTGTGTAGTGACATAGGAGGATGATTTCTTAAAATTAAGTTGTGTAATGTTATTAAGATTTAGTTTTATTTAAACACAGTTTTATTAAACATAGGCAAAATACTCTGACATAAATCACAGCAAGATCCTCTATGACCCACCTCCCAGAATATTGGAAATAAAAGCAAAAACACACAAATGGGACCTAATGAAACTTAAAAGCTTTTGCACAACAAAGGAAACTATAAGCAAGGTGAAAAGACAGCCCTCAGATTGGGAGAAAATAATAGCAAACGAAGCAACAGACAAAGGATTAATCTCAAAAATATACAAGCAACTCCTCCAGCTCAACTCCAGAAAAATAAATGACCCAATCAAAAAATGGGCCAAAGAACTAAACAGACATTTCTCCAAGGAAGACATACAGATGGCTAACAAACACATGAAAAGATGCTCAACATCACTCATTATCAGAGAAATGCAAATCAAAACCACAATGAGGTACCATTACACGCCAGTCAGGATGGCTGCTATCCAAAAGTCTACAAGCAATAAATGCTGGAGAGGGTGTGGAGAAAAGGGAACCCTCTTACACTGTTGGTGGGAATGCAAATTAGTACAGCCACTATGGAAAACAGTGTGGAGATTTCTTAAAAAGCTGGAAATAGAACTGCCATATGACCCAGCAATCCCACTTCTGGGCATACACACCGAGGAAACCAGATCTGAAAGAGACACGTGCACCCCAATGTTCATCGCAGCACTGTTTATAATAGCCAGGACATGGAAGCAACCTAGATGCCCATCAGCAGACGAATGGATGAGGAAGCTGTGGTACATATACACCATGGAATATTACTCAGCCATTAAAAAGAATTCATTTGAATCAGTTCTAATGAGATGGATGAAACTGGAGCCCATTATACAGAGTGAAGTAAGCCAGAAAGATAAAGACCAATACAGTATACTAACGCATATATATGGAATTTAAAAAGATGGTAACGATAACCCTATATGCAAAACAGAAAAAGAGACACAGATGTACAGAACAGACTTTTAGACTCTGTGGGAGAAGGCGAAGGTGGGATGTTCAGAGAGAACAGCATTGAAACAAGTGTACTATCAAGGGTGAAACATCACCAGCCCAGGTTGGATGCATGAGACAAGTGCTCAGGGCTGGTGCACTGGGAAGACCCAGAGGGATGGGATGGAGAGGGAGGCGGGATGGGGGATTGGGATGGGGAACACATGTAAATCCATGGCTGATTCATGTCAATGTATGGCAAAACCCACTACAATATTGTAAAGTAATTAGCATCCAACTAATAAAAAATAAATGGAAAAAAAATGAATAAAATTTAAAACTATATTACACACACACACACACACACACACACACACTATATACACTGGCAGATTGCCTCCAAAAATGAAATATATCCTATACAGAGAGAGACATACATGTGTATACGTAAACACATTACACATATGTGTATATACTATTGTAAACATATGTTTGTGTATTCCTTGAAAAATATGCAAGCAAATATATCTTGAGAAAGGTTTAAAAGTTTAGCATGCTAATGTGTTAAGAGTATTTCTGTATCATTTAAAGTTTTATATATTTCAATGTATTTGTAATTTTTCAAAAACTAAACAAGTTCTCTCTTCAGGTTCAAAAGACTCCCTTCCATTGTGTCTTCTTTGATTCCAAACTGTCATGCACACACCTTGCATAGTATATTCTTTCCTTTAACTGGTCACCTGTATCTCTTATATCCCATCTCATTTGTTTAATAGTTACTTATATCCATGTTTCAGCCCTTACTAATATGTCAGTGGATTTTTTTTCCCCTGCTTTTCCTTTTCTCTTTTTTCTTCATTTAGGATTATTATTATTTTTTAATAGAGGTGATGCATGTTCTTTAGACAGTTTAGAAAATAAAAAAGAAAATCCAAAACACTATCAGTACTGATACTTTAATGAATTAGCTTTCTTTTTTTCTATATTTTTTTTTTTTGTTCATTTCTCCGCTCTTAATTATGACATGGTTCTAACATACAGAAAGTACAGAATTTCTGCCATCCAACTTAGTCAAATCTTAGTGTTTGACCATATTTGCTTTTGAACCTCCTTTCCTCCTCCTTGAAAAAAGACACTAGGGAGAATTTGAAGCTCTTGTGTCTCCTTCCCCAATTCTGTTTTCCTTCCTTTTTCTTAAGAGGCAACTTTTGATGTGTTTTTTTTTGCCGTGCATGGTTTGTTCTGTGTGTCTGTATTTTTTATTGTGTATACTGATACAAATTTAAGCTTTTTTACTTTTTAAGCTTAATATAGTCTCATGTATTCTTTTGTCACTTGCCTTTTTCAGATATATCAGTTTTGAGATGATCCCTATTGATCCACAAATCTATGTTAGTTATTTTGCTAAATAGTGGTTTCGTTTTTTGATCATTTTGCAGTTTCTCTATTTCTATTCTGCTATCTAAGCTGCTGTTTCCAATTTTTTGCCATTAAAAGCAGTAGTCTAAACCTAGTAGTGGGATTGCCATGTTATGTGGTATGTATATATTCAACTTGAATATGTCTGTTCACACTGCTCTCTAAAGTGATTGTATTGGTTTAAAATCCCCTCTAGAAGTACATGAGTTTCTCCTTTAGTACTTGGTACTGTTAGACTTCTGAATTTTTACCAGTCCAATAGTTTTAAAGGTATATCTGATTATTAATAAAATACAAATTTTTCTGTTTGATATTGAAATTAATTTATTGGCCACTTATGTTTCTTCTGTGAATTGCGGTTCTTAGTTTTTGCTAATTTTTCTATTACTGATTTCTAGAGATTCTTTATTCAGTGTATTAATGCATTATTAAATTACATACATATTCAGGGAGAATTGTTATGGTTAAAGAATTCAGTCTTTTCATTTATGACTGTGGTGTATCTTTCCATTTAAAAGTCATCTGTAGTGATTTTTGGTGCATCTTTATACTTGCCTCTATAGAGAAAGATATGTTTTATATAAATCTTTGCTTGTGATTTACCTTTTCACTCTCCCAGTGGTGTCTTTAGATGAAAATAAGCTATATTTTTAGTGTTGCACAGCTTATTAATTTTTCCTTGTATGATTTGTGCCTTTTATGTTATGTTTAAGAAATCTTTGCCTACTGCTTAGTTACAAAGATATTTTCTTTTGTTTTTTCCTAACATTTTTTTTGTTTAACTTGTCTTATTTTAGATCTCTAATCCATTTGGAATTTATTCTTGTGTACCATGTGAGACAGGGGTTTAATTTTGTTTTCTATGTGCCTGATTCAGTACCATCTCTTTTGAGAAGACCATTCTTCCCCTACTCTTCTTTCCTGTTACTTTTGTTGTAAATAAAGTGATTATATTTGTGTGAGTTTATTTCTGGACCCTGATGTTCCCTTGGTCACCTTATCTTTGTATTGTCTTAATTTATAGCAGATTTGTCTAGCAGTGTATGTCCTTAGTATTTCTTACCTTGATTAGTATTACCTTAATATTTCTTACCAAAGATTATCTTGGCAGTTGTTGACACTTTGCATTTCCATATACATTTTAGAATCAGCCTCTGAGTTTCCACCAAAAACAAAAAACCTAGTAGAATTCTGAGTGGCCTTGCTTTAAGTTTATAGCAATTTAAGAAAAATTGTTATCTTTATAATATTAGTCTTCTAAACCATGAACATGGTATATCCCTCCATGTATTTAAAACTTTAATTTCCCTTAGTGTTTTGTAATTTTCTCTGTCGAGGTTGCCGATATTTCATTGGAGTTATTCTTTGGTATTTAATGCTTTTAAATGCTAGTGATAAAGAGTATTCTAAATATTTAATATTTCATTTTTTGACTGTGGCTGGAATACAGAAATATAGTTTTTCTTTTCCTCTCCTACACTAGTACATTGAGTTTGTTCCCAACCACCTTGCTAAATTATTAATAGAATTTTCTGTGTTATGGAATCATTTGTCTACAAATGAGGAAAGTTGTTTTTTTTCTTTTTCAGTCTTTTTTTCCTTGTTGCCTCACTACATTGACTGGGGACCACTCCCTGCCCCCCCACCCCAGTACAATATTGAACAAAATAATAGAGTCCCTAGGTATTTTTGTTTAATTTTGTATTTGCTTTCCATGATTTGAGGATAAAGCATCCAATACTTCATTATTAGGTTTTTGCTAAGGTTTTTCTGTAGGTAACTTTTAAAAATCAGATTAAGGAAGTTCTGTTCTTGGCAGAGGAACCAGGGATCAAATTGCCAACATCTGTTGGATCATAGAAAAAACAAGAGAGTTCCAGAAAAACATCTGCTTTATTGACTACACCAAAGCCTGTAACTGTGAATCACAACAAACTGGAAAATTCTTCAAGAGATGGGAATACCAGACCACCTTACTGCCATTTGAGAAATCTGTATGCAGGTCAAGAGGCAACAGAACTGGACATGGAACAACAGACTGGTTCCAAATTGGGAAAGGAGTATGTCAAGACTGTATATTGTGACCCTGTTTATTTAATTTATATGCAGAGTACATCATGTGAAATGATGGGCTGGATGAAGCACAAGCTGGAATCAAGATTGCCAGGAGGAATATCAATAGCCTCAGAGATGGAGATGACACCCCTCATGCCAGAAAGTGAAGAGAAACTGAAGAGCCTCTTGATGAAAGTGAAAGAGGAGAGTGAAAAAGTTGGCTTAAAGCACAACATTCAGAAAACTAAGATCATGGCATCTGGTCCCGTCACTTCATGGCCAATAGATGGGGAAACAATGGAAACAGTGACAGACTTTATTTTTCTGGGCTCCAAAATCACTGCAGATAGTGACTGCAGCCATGAAACATGCTTCCTTCTTGGAAGAAAAGTTATGACCAGCCTAGACAACTTACTAAAAAGCGGAGACATTACTTTGCCAACAAAGGTCCGTCTGGTCAAAGCTATGGTTTTTCCAGTAGTCATGTATAGATGTGAGAGTTGGGCTCTAAAGAAAGCTGAGTGCCGAAGAATTGATGCTTTTGAACTGTGGTATTGGAGAAGACTCTAGAGAGTCCCTTGGACTGCAAGGAGATCCACCCAGTCCATCCTAAAAGAAAATCAGTCCTAAATGTTCATTGGAAGGACTGAAGCTGAAACTCCAGTACTTTGGCCACGTGATGCAAAGAGCTGACTCTTTGGAAAAGACCCTGATGCTGGGAAAGGTTGAGGGCAGGAGGAGAAGGGGATGACAGAGGACGAGGTGGTTGGATAGCATCCCTGACTCTATGGACATGAGTTTGAGCGAGCTCCGGGAGTTGGTGATGGAGGGGGAAGCCTGGCATGCTGCAGTCCACGGGGTCACAAAGAGTTGGACATGACTGAGCGACTGAACTGAACTCTTGTTAGTTTGGTGGAATAAATTAAACTTGGCATGATACATTATCCTTTTTTTATATTGCTGAATTTGATTTGGTAATGTTTTATTTAAGATGTTTACATCTGTGTTCATGAGAAAGATTACCCTATGGTTTTCCTTTCTTACCGATATAACGCACTTGTTGGAGTTTTGCCATCAAAGATACATTGGCCTAATAAGAAGAAACATTTCCTTTTTTCCTGTTTTCTGAAAAAGGTTGATTTAATGTTGGTAGGGTTTTCTTCTTTTTTTCCCCCCTTCCTTTTATATATTCACAGATAAGCCTATACTTTTGTCATGGGTTGTCTTTCTGCTTAGAGTCTTTTATACTAGAGTAGATTTAGTGTATGCTTTGGTTTGCTGAATGAGTATGCCTTTTCATTGCTGGTTCTGGTGGTGTTTAACTGCTCCCAGAGTAGGTCTTGGGTCCTCTAGCAGCACTGTTGACCTCTCCTCATTTTCTCCAGTTGTTCAGTTGAGGCCATCCTTACACTGCCACCAGCTCATCTTTTTTTTTTTTTAATCATTCTTTCTGCTGCTGTTTTAAATTTAATTTTAATTTTTATCAAAATAATACATGTAAATGTGGAAATCAAGTGGTTCCACTTGACCTGTAAAAAAAAATCCAAGTTTACTGCTCTGCTCCTTCCACCTGTTAGTTCCTACTCTTAGAGGCATCTCTGATGATGGTTTAATCAAGAGTCTTTTTAAAATAACTGATTTAAAACAGCTGCTTCTTGATGTTTGCAGTTTAGACATCACAATTTGACTTTTTTTGATGGAAGGTGAGGATTTGCTGTCTTAAATGATATATCACTAAAATACCGATATGAACTTTTCTATCATCCACCCAGCTAAAAAAATTATCCCATCCAACTTAAAAACTATGATTTTTTTTAAAAAAATTAAATCATAATTTTAAAGTTCATAATTATTTGTTATTTATGGGTATGGAAATATAACCATCACCTTCATTTCTTTCTGCAGCTTTTTTCCTCTCTGAAATTATTCTTGTCTAATTTAAATATTGTTTCAATATATGCAGATTCAGCAACCAATCCATCTTTTTTTTTTTTCCTGTTTCACTGGAGTCATACCTCTTTATCATTCTGTTTCAGTCAGTCTGGATTGGCTTGCTCTAGGCCAGCCTCCTTTCACTGTTATCCTGGACATGTACTTGCTGGTCTTCTTGGTGCTGAACCTGCTGTTTGCTCGTTTCTATTTGTTTGGTTCATTCCTTTTCCTGAGAGATCACATCCTCTACTAGCTACTTGAAAGGAAGTTCATAGGAGATTAATCTAGGTCTGTTGCTTGTCTCTTATCCAGCTTGTAAATTTTATGTTGCTTTTCTACTCTCATGTCCTGTTTTTCCTTATGCTTACTTATGCCTTCATTGTTTACTATCATTTTAGTAGATTTTTAGGAGGGAGCGTAAGTAGACTTCTGTTTAACTCACCATGGATCTGAATGTTGACTTACTGCCTTCTCATATGTATCTCCCCACCTTTCTCCATTTATTAAGCTTAGCTTTATGCTTGGCTCTTTCCTGGAACTTCCCCTGATGTTTCCAAAGTATTAAGCTAGTATCTTTCTTTGACTGAACTCATCAACTAAGAACCAGGGAAAAGTTCTATAGATATTTGAAGGATGATTAGGAGGAAGAGGGAACGATTGGATATATGTTTTCTTTTTTTTTTTTTTCATTTATTTTTATTAGCTGAAGGCTAATTACTTTACAATATTGTAGTGGTTTTTGCCATACATTGACATGAATATCAACCCACTGGGGCACACGATAACTTTTTCCATTTATATAGGTATTTGGAGGCCAACCATCTCAATCGATTGGATTTTTTTTTTTTTTTTAAGTTTGTTTCTTGTGTCAATATCCTGGCCAGATTTCTATTCTTGGGTGTTGTCTTAATTAAATAAAAATTTGGTTTGAAGTCCCTTGCTTAGTGATCTCTGGTTTTGTTTTATGTTTGGTTTAGTTTCATCTCTNACCTAATGAAACTTAAAAGCTTTTGCACAACAAAGGAAACTATAAGCAAGGTGAAAAGACAGCCCTCAGATTGGGAGAAAATAATAGCAAACGAAGCAACAGACAAAGGATTAATCTCAAAAATATACAAGCAACTCCTGCAGCTCAATTCCAGGAAAATAAATGACGCAATCAAAAAATGGGCCAAAGAACTAAACAGACATTTCTCCAAAGAAGACATATGGATATATGTTTTCTATTTGAATGAAGGCGAAGCAGTTGGGGTGGTGAAGAGTGGGGCACAGATTTCAACATGTGGTGTGAAAAAACTTTCTCATAGTTCAGTAACAGAGTTGGTTGCCTTTCCAGAAGCTGGATGGCTTTGTGTCTGGGGTATTTTAGAAATACTTATTTTGAGGCGAAGCTTAAACCAGGTAATGTATGAGTCTTTTCCAGTGTTCTGAGTGGCTGAGTGAGTGAGGCTGTTGTTCTCCACAGATGCCTTGAGTGTGCTCAACAGGTGTGGGTGGCCAACAACACAGAGTGCTCTGCCCACCACCACTACTTCATATAGAGAAGCACTGTTTTGTGTGTTTTATGTATTAGAGATCCTCATAAGATTTAATTGGGAAAAAATGGACTGGTTTAAAAATTTTTGAAAATGGCTCTGAAGTTCTTTTCTACGTTTCTATGAACCCGGTATTCACTGTGTGTTGGACACTTATTTGCTCTTGATTGCACTTAAATGTCTAGTCTGTTATCTGGTATGTATATATCTTTTAATCTCAGAAAGATTTTTGAGTTTTCTGCTAGAGAGCTTATCATATTTTTCTTCTCAGTACTTCTGGAATCCTAACGGGTTTTCAGTCAATAGCTCTTGAATTTTTTACTTGACCACATGAATCATTTCTGTTGAACATTCTCCTTTCCAAGGGGCCAACCGAATAGTGTTAGAAGACACCAACATTCTACAGCCTGTGGGACTGACTGTGTTTGAAAACTGGCTGTACTGGATCGATAAGCAGCAGCAAATGATTGAAAAAATTGACATGACAGGTCGAGAGGGTAGAACCAAAGTCCAGGCTCGAATTGCCCAGCTTAGCGACATTCACGCAGTAAAGGAGCTGAACCTTCAGGAGTATAGTAAGTGCTGGTGGTGTATTGCTAGTCGCAAGATGCATGTTTGTAATTAGGCGCGCCGAAAATTAAGATGCTGTGTGTCTTCTATTGTAAGATTTTCATATATTTCTAGTTTTGCCATTTTTAAAAAGTCTCCATGTTTTTAAATCCTTAGATTCACCTGGAAATCTTTTTATTTTAAACATGTTTTCCCTATAAAACAAGAATTAGAGAAAGGAATGGTGTGTCTCATTTTCAAAAATCTCCCCACCCAGGAACAGCAAGGACTTGCTCTTCATGTTTTCTCTTTCTCTCCTTCAGCATTTTAAGAATACTGGTGTAAAGCCTGTATTAATATTTCTTTTGTTTCACATACATCCTCATGGTTTCAACAGAAGCAGAAGTTAACATTTATATAATAATGGAGTTATCATGAAAATAAACCTATTCTTTGGCAAAAACAAAACAAACTAAAAATTAGTGTATAAACTTAGAGAAGACTATGTTTAATAAGTGCTTGTTTTTTTTCCCCTTTTGGTTAAGTTTGTCAATTCACAGCTTAGGAAAGTGGCCATAAATTATTGAAAACTTGAAAATGACTAGTCATCTTGGCTTAGTTAATATGTGTTAATATAATACTATTAAGTATTAATATTAGAGTTAGTATTAATATTTTAGTATCAACATTATTATAATTTATATATATGTAAATATATATATATTATTGTGTTTAGTATCAACATTATTAATAAGTTAATATTTTAATAGTAATTAATACTGTTAACTCTGTTAACATAATACTGTTATATCTGTCATCAGATGTACCCTCTCAGCCATCACTACTGTAGATCTTACACGATTATATCAGGAATGCAGGTGTTAAAATGGAGGACTAATGAGAGAAGTATTCACTCCTGAACTTCTCAGCACAATGTTTTCAAATCAAATTGGAATATTTAAGAAAGAAACAGAAATGAGAACACCATAACTTGTTCAAGTCTCTCTTGTATTGTCACTGTTCATGCACTTAGAAGTTAATTAGAGGTATTTGAGATTTAATAGTTAGAATTGTCATTGTATGTTATAACATGTAATTCATGCTGAGTATTTAATAGAAACAAGGTAGAGGTGATATAATGGCTAAGTATTCAGTTGATACATGAGCTTTTTACGGCAGAAAATCTATGGATGTTTTCAGAATTTCAGGGGGAGTATCTTTTTTTATAGTTCAACACTTAAATATGGTTTATATTTAGAAAAACTTTATTTCTCAAAATTTCTAAAAACTATTAAAGAAAAGGAGATTGTTTATCAAGAGTGTCTTGGAATTACAAGGTTGAGAAACACTGCTGTATAGGTTGTCCATTCTGATACAAGGACTGATGTCTGCTTTGGGACATCTATATAGTATTACACATCTGCTCGTTTGTGCATAGCTGATTCCCTCCGTCTCGTCAACACTCTTGTGTTACTGACAAGAGTCAGATAATAAATGAGTGGCCACATTTGATGTTGGTATTCTAGGATGATAGCTGTCAAGTTGCTTTTGACATGAGCTAAGTAGAAAAGTCAAAGCAATGATTTCATTAAATATAACTTATGAGACGGAGTTTAAAATGTGCCTGACAGTGTATTTATTTAATTTAACCCAAATAGGAAGAAATCAAGCATTTGTAACATTGCAAGTTCTTTTGCGGTTGACCAAGCAAATAATTTTGATGGTTTCTGAGTGGTTGAATTCATGTGGACTTGTTTTTTCTTCTAACAGCTCTTAATTTTTAGCAGATTCCTCCTTAGAATACACTTTTTGAGCAAAATCATCATGTCTCTCAAAAAGGTAGAATTTCTGAGTTAAAAATCTCGAGAAGAATTTTTATGTTTTAAAGAGAATAAGATCCAGGTTTCAGCATTCTCCCCAGCAATTTTTTTACTTTGAGTAATCAGCTTTTCTTATTCACAAAAATTAACATGAGCTATACCATTACCTTACTTTACTTTAAAATATTTTATATATAAATGTGTAAAGACAGTGGCTACATATAAATATTTTGTGTCTTAAATTGTCCTTGTTTAATTGTAGATTGTGTAGAGATGGTGTGAGTAATTATATTCAGTGGAAATAAAGTCCAAAGGAATTTTGCATTTGATTTTCTTGGTAACTCATAAATAATTGATTTTGGCTAGGCTTTTCTTCCTCCCTCCCTCCCTTGCTATTCTTTTCCCTTTCTTTTTTCTCTCTCTCATTCTCTTCTCTTTCCTCTTTTCTTGCAGGACAGCACCCTTGTGCTCAGGATAATGGTGGCTGTTCACATATCTGTCTTGTAAAGGGAGATGGTACCACAAGGTGTTCTTGCCCCATGCACTTGGTTCTTCTTCAAGATGAGCTATTATGTGGAGGTAAATATGTTGTTATTTTCTTCTAAAAGTGTAATGCCAATCACATGTTCCAGAACTTAGTCTAGCATTCTTGGACAGTGAAATTGCTTTCTCCTAACTTGATTGGTCCTTTGTATTTCATACATCTGCACTGTCCTAGGCTTTGGGGTATTCTAGGATTGAATTCACCATGACAAGAGATAGGTGTAACCTGACCCTGGTCCTAAGGCAGAAGAGCTCTTTTGGGGGGAAACTTGTAACTATAAATGAGTGTATTTCTTAATAATAAAGTAGTTTTTCCACCCTCAAAGGGTAACAAGAATTAATTCCACCTCCTGTAATCTTTATCCACTGAATTCTGTCAGTTTATGTGTCATTGTTGCAAATGTATTCAGTGGAAAGAATAGTCTTCTGTTCAGATCTATCCACCGTTGCCTGTTGTTTCTCTTACTTTTCTAGCCAATAAAAAAGGAAAAAAAATTTTTTTTAAGATATTACTGAGTAGTAGTAATGTTGTAGTGAAATTGGCTCAGTTACTCATGGGACCACAGCAAAGGTGTATCCCTTTGTTAAAGCATAGTATGATAGCATCAAATGCATTGTAATATTTATTCTCTTAATTCGGAAATTCTCCTGCTGGGGATAGTTCTATGTGAATTCAACCGAAGGAAAAAGATTTTTCTACAGTGGCAGGGATTTAAAAACAATTTCTAATGATAGGAGAATGATTTAATAAAATAACTGAGCTTATGTAGCTGTTAAAAATTATGATCATAAACTGATGTAAAAATGTAGCCCAAAGTTGGCTCAAGTGGGAAAAAAAATATTAAAATGGTGTTTTATTGTGTGATGAGAACTACATAAAAAATAAATCTCTGTGAAAAAAAGATCGAGAGGGTTTACACTCAAAATGTAAAAATTATTGATAAGGTGTTATTATAAGAATACTTTATTCTTCTAACTTTCAAGTTAAAAAAAAAAAATAACATGTATTGAGTAGTGGCTATGAGGATCTCTGGACCGCAGGAGATGTAAAGATCTTTGACACAGAGAATGCAGTTTAGTTGGGGAGATCAGCTTTGTGCACAGGGAAAGTTAAGCTCTGGTTCTTAAAGTATCTGTCCCAATAGCAGGCATTACACAATGATGTAAATATATTTAATGCACTGATCTGTACATTTAAAAATGGTTAAAGTGGTAAACTTGTTACATGTATTTTGTGTGTGCTTAATTGCTCAGTTGTGTTCAACTCTTTATGACCCTTTGGATTGTAGCCTTCCAAGCTCTCTTGTCCATGAGATTTTTTTCAAGCAAGAATACTGGGATGGGTAGCCATTTCCTCCTCCAGAAGATATTCCTGATTCAGGGATCAAACCCTGGCCTCCTGCATTGCAGGCAGATTCTTTACCCGCTGAACCATAAGGGAAGCCCCCAAAACAGAATCTAGTTGCTTAAAGTGTGTGTTAGTTGCTGAGTTGTGTCCCACTCTTTCTGACCACAAGGACCGTAGCCCACCAGGCTCCTCTGTCCATGGGATTGCCCAGGCAAGAATACTGGAGTGGGTAGCCATTCCCTTCTCCAGGGGATCTTCCTGACCCAGGGATTGAACCTGGGTCTCCCTCATTGCCGGCATATTCTTTACCATCTGAGCCACCAGGGCCATGATTTAAAAAAAAAAGCAAGTGTTTCCATGTCAGAATGCTATTGTTCCAGTAAGGCAAATCTTAGAAAAATATGCCTTTATGTAGACACAGATAAAACTCAGTGATATCACCTTTCATTTAGAAAGTGTCTTTTAAAAGACCAGTATTTTTTTTTCACATTTAGTGATTGTTTTTAATGTATTTTTTTTTAAATGTATGTTTTAACCAAATAGTCAATGTGCTTTAACAGATGTGTACAGTGGTGTTACCAGCACCCATTTCAAGTGGAAGTGAAAGAAAGTGAAAGTCGCTCAGCCGTGTCTGACTCTTTGCAACTCATGGACTATACAGTCCATTGAATTCTCCAGGCCAGAATACTGGGGTGGGTGGTCTGTCCCTTCTCCAGTGGATCTTCCCGAACCAGGAATCAAGCTAAGGTCTCCTGCTTTGCAGGTGGATTTTCTATCAGCTGAGCTCTCAGGGAAGCCCACCCAGATCAAGATGTACAGTATTGTCTTTAAGAATAGTTCCCTGTGTCTTGGCAGCCAGTGCTCTTCCTGGAGTAATTTTCATCTCCATGGTTTAGTTTTACTTGTTTTTGAACTTTACATAAGGAATCATGATGTATGTACTCTATGTCTGGATTCTCTTGCTTACTGCAATATTTTGAGATTCATCCTTACAGTGAGTGGAGTGCCACAGTCTGTGGTTTTCTTTTTATTGCTGTGTGGTGTGTTTCATTGTATCAATACAAATAAGCCACAGTTTTATTTTTCTTGTGTTCAGGGACATTTTAAATGTTTTCAGTTTTTGTTATTAAGAGTGAAACTGCAGTGAATTGTGAATTCATTAAATCTTGAATTTATATACAAGATTTTTCTTGTGATTTAATGTTGATTTTACATGCATGCATGCATGCCAGTCGCCTCAGTCATGTCTGACTTTTTGCGACCCCATGAACTGTGTAGCCTGCTAGGTTCCTCTGTCTGGGATTCTCCAGGCAAGAATACTGGAGTGAGTTGCCATGCCCTCCTCCAGGGAAACTTACTGACCCAGGGATCAGAACTATATCTCTTATGCCTCCTGCATTGGCAGACAGGTTCTTAACCACTAATGCCACCTGGGAAGCTCAGATTTTACAGTGAAGGCAAATGAAATACACAATCTGAATTTCTCTGCTTGACCTTCTCAAGATGTGTTTTCATTTGAGCCTGTGTTACCTCCCCATCATCTCATTTTGTACTTCTGCCAGTCTGAATGTGTTTTCAAACTGGTCTCACCATATTTTTACATTTTAAAAAATTTTTGAGGAGAGCTTTTGTTTGTGTAAATATAATCTATGTGGTAGGATTTGAAACCAAGAACTTTAAAAAATATTTGTTAAGAATAATAATAATAAAGCATTACATGTTCTCAAGTTAAAACTGTTAAGAAAATTGATGGTATTTTCTAAAGCAAAATAATTTTAGTGAGAAATATGGCATTGTTTTTTCATTTTTAAAAATCTTTTTAGTGTTGAGCTGGATTCTCTTGTCTACTTCTGCATTCAGTCTCTTGTATGTAGTATGTAGCTTCATTGAACTGTATGAAGAATTTTGGCCTCAAAGATATGTAGTTGGAAAATGGAGGGCTATAATTAAATATCCTTTTCAAATAGTTATGTATATGCATATTGAATTCTACACCAAATCTAGACATATGATAGTTTTCTATAGGGTTAGTTGCATTGTGGAACTTGAAAACATATCAGTTAACTTTTTTCATAGTCTGTTATTTTGAAATCCATTAATTATTTTGTACCGGGAATGGGTATTTTATCCATGCATTAGTTTGTAACCTTATGCATCTTGGTCATTTGGGAATACTAGAATTCCATTCAGAAATTCCCAGATCATCAGGTTTTGATGCATTTCATTATACAGTATCAAAACAATCACATTAATATTACCACCAATCTCATCATAAGAATATTTAAGTACTAGGAATCCGTCAAGCTAACAGTGTTGGATACAGGTCTTCCAAAATTACAATTTCTGATAGAAAGTTCCAGTGTTGTATAATTTGCCACAAAAGTACGTTATGGTTTGCTGTTGTTTGAATTCACTGGTTCATTTAAAAACTCCCCACAAAATGCCCAAGTGCAAATATCAATAGTTTATATGCCACTCATTCTTTCACATTAAAAGGGTGTCACGTTTTGGGTTGTGTTTACAGCTCAGAATGTTTTTCCCTTTGGGAACCTTCATGCTGAGGTTTGCAGCCTGAGCTTTGTGCATGTTTTCCATTTTGTCAAACAGTATTGAGGAGATGTGTACTCAGAGAATTGATTTTAATGTAATTAGTATTTTTTACTGATTCATCAAGAACATTCTTGAATGAAACTGCCCCACCCCCACTGCCATGTGTACGTATGGTATATGACTATGTAGAATGCGGTGACTGCTGGTACAGTTTGGGGCCCTTGCCCCGAGTCTGCTAAGGTGCCAAGCATTTTACCTTCCATGGCATCAGTGCAAGTGTAGTGAGAAAGGCAAGTGATATGTTAGTATTGTAAAATAGTGTCTGTCAGTTCCCTGGAAAGAGGTCGCAGGTCAGGAACCCCCAGGGGTTCGTAGATCATTCTTTGAGAACCTCAGGGCTGGAAAAGTTACGAATTCTAAGATTACTTTAAAATATTTGAAGGTGGATGATTATAATGGTAATTCCTGGGTTATATGTGAGATTGTAACAGATTGCAAATTCAGTACTCCTACTTAAATTGTAATATATAAGAAAACTTCTTTCTGCCTTATAGTTTTATAACTTAGTGAATCTCAGTGAAGTAGTGTAAAAATTATATCTCTTTTCTGATTCAGTAAAATAATTTATAGATTTTATCTGTTATAAAGTGTTTTGTATGTTAATCATTAAATGGGCTTCACTCAGGTGTAAATGTCAGTACCTCTGTGTGACTATGATTGTGTTTTTCATTCCCCTCCCCCTATTCATTTGAAGAACCCCCAACATGTTCTCCTCAGCAGTTTACTTGTTTCACGGGAGAAATTGACTGTATCCCTGTGGCTTGGCGGTGTGATGGGTTTACTGAATGTGAAGACCACAGTGATGAACTCAATTGTCCTGTGTGCTCAGAGTCCCAGTTCCAGTGCGCCAGTGGACAGTGTATCGATGGTGCCCTGCGGTGCAACGGAGATGCGAACTGCCAGGATAAGTCAGATGAGAAGAACTGTGAAGGTATCTGCAATTCCTAGGCCTGGTTACAGATTTCCTTTTTCAATTAAGTTGTTTGAAATTCCCAGTTTTGCTTTGGCTCATTTAGTGGTAGATTTGGGGTTTTTCAAGTGTGTTTGACTTTATTATTTCTAAACACAGTAGCATGTTCTAAATTGTCTTAATTCACTTAATGTGTATAAGATTTATACACATTAATAAGCTTTGCAGTTGAGAAATGACACCAAAAGATTAGCCCTTCAGTATGTAAAAATGGTCCTTGTTTGCAGTGAGCTCTGAATGGGGCTTCTCTGGTAGCTCAGCAGGTAAAGAACCCGCCAGTGAAAGAGACTTGGGTTTGATCCCTGGGTCGGGAAGATCCCCTGGAGAAGGGAATAGCTACCCAATCCAGTATTCTTGCCTGGGGAATTCCATGGACAGTGGAGCATGGTGGGGTACAGTCCATGGGGTCGCAAAAAGCTGGACATGACTGAATGACTAAGCAAACACACGTGACACTTATTAACAACATAAAGTAATTTCATGTTTTCTTCTCATCCACTAACTTTTAACAGAATGTAAAAAAGCCACAACAAAAATATTCTCTGGAAATTTTTAGTATCTAAAAATGCATGTAGAATTCTTTAATTCTTAACAGAATTGTTAGTGAAAGATGGAATTTAATATAAAGGACAAAATAAGAAGTTTCCTGCTAGATTGCTTTTTCTTCTCTTTTCTATCTCTCAGTTGAAATCCCCAGAGAATTATTTGTAAGTTTTCTCTAAAAGTCTGATTTGTTTTTCACGTGTGCCTGGAAAGCTCTCTTTGACTTCTGCCAGACTTTACACGATAGTGAAACTAAGAAAACTATTTACATTTTTTTTTCCCCCACAGTACTCTGTTTAATTGATCAATTCCGCTGTGCCAATGGTCAGTGCATTGGAAAACACAAGAAATGTGATCATAATTTGGATTGCAGTGACAAATCAGATGAACTGGATTGTTGTAAGTATGATGAAAACCTTGTATTACTCTTAAGGGAGAATTTTCTTTTTAAAAATAACTTTATTAGTCTTGAAAGTGTGAAAGTGAAGCTTGCTCAATCATGCCCAACTCTTGGTGACCCCCTGTACTATACAGTCCATGGAATTCTCCAGGCCAGAATACTGGAGTGGGTAGCCTTTCCCTTCTCCAGGGGATCTTGCGACCCAGGGATCGAACCCAGGTCTCCCACATTGCAGGCGGATGAGGGAGAATTTTTAATGTTCTTTTCCTTTTCTTTCTGTGTGAGGTTCACTTATGACCAGTGCTTTCTTATTAAGAAGCAAGTTATTGATATTAAGTTAGTTATTTGTACCTGAGATTTCTTACATTTTACATTTAATGATTTCTTAAAGATAGTTTTCTTATGTTCAGAAATCTTCACAGAAACATTTAGCAAAGCATCAGAAAAATATTATTTTGAGAAAGCTAAGGTTAGGAAATTCTCAGTTTCGATATGTGGAAATTAGTGGTCTAAACTTAAGAGTTTCTTAACGTTTGTTGTTTAGTCACTTAAGTCGTATCTGACTTTTTTGCAACCCCATGGACTGTAGCCCACCAGACTCCTCTTTCCATGAGATTTCCCAGGCAGGAATACTGGAGTGGGTTGCCATTTCCTTCTCTTGGGTTGATCTTCTCAACCCAAGAACTGAACCTGCGTCTCCTGCATTGGCAGGTGGGTTCTTTACCACTGAGCTACCTGGGAAGCCCCTTCTGCACGTTAACACATGTATAAAATTTCCCTTTTTTTTTTCCTGCATAATTTTCTGCCAGTCTGTCAGTGACTTTAAGAGCTTCTTAAAACACAGCCTGAGAATACTTGGGCCACCACATATATATTCCTGAGCCTAGAGACCTTAGGCTAAATAGCCTGTTGTTTCTTCAAGGTACACAACTACTGACTAATGTTCTAAGATGAAATGTATCCCCAGTTGACAAATATTCCATTTGTCAAATATTGACAAATGGCATTCAGCACAAGCCAGGTCTCCCCTGTAGAAACTGATTTTGTGGAATTTAGACAGAGCTCATTTTAAAACTCTTTTAATCGTAACAAAGACTTCAAGCTGATGTTTTTACAAAATTCAAATGGGATCCCCACTGAGACTATTGGGATCTGTTTCCATTTATTCAGCAAACCTGTGCTGAACACTTGCTATGTGCTGAGGGTACCTCACTCTTGTGCCAGGTTTCTCAAGAGTCTGATCAGAGGAGGGCAGGAAGGGGGATTTTCAGGCCAGGCAGAGGTAGATTTGAATTTTAACTCCACCAGTAAATTATTTGCTCTTGTTAGACCTCAAGTTCTCCATCTTTAAAATGAAGATAATATTTAGTATGGTGATTGTGAGAGGATTAAATGATTTAATGTATATGATACAGCTTAAATCAGAGCAGGTGTTATAATAAAGGAGTGTGATGAGTAATGATAAATGTGCTACAATAGAGATCTGTACAAAGAGTAGCACAAAGAAGAGAATGGTCAGATCTTTAGAAATTAAGATGGGATTCATCAAGGAAAACATCTTAGAAAAATGCGGTAAGGTTGGGTGGGTGTTGATCAGTGAATAGCATTACTTGTGCAGTTAAGTGGAGAGATTGCATTCTAGGTAGAGGGACTCTCTTGTCCTGCCCAAAGCCAGAGTGAAATGGGCACCATTGAGAAATGACCCATAAACTGGACTGCTGTAACACAGGCTGCTGTCCTGAGGGGGGTTGGCAGAAGCTGATACACATAAAGGTGAGATCACAAAGGACTTTGCTTTCCCTCTGAAGAGCCTGTAGACAGTATTCCAAAATAATGTTGTTGTTACTGTGTTAGTCACTCAGTCATGTCCGACTCTCTGCGACCCCGTGGATGGTCGCCCGCCAGGCTCCTCTGTCCGTGGGATTCTCCAGGCAAGAATACCGGAGTGGGTTGCTGTTCCCTTCTCCAGGGGATCTTCCCAACCCAGGGATTGAACCTGGGTGTCCCGCATTGCGGGCAGATTCTTTACCGTCTGAGCCACCAGGGAAGGCCCCAGGATGATGGAGAGCCACTAAAACCCTGAAGTGGAGGACTGGCATGGCTGTGTAACTGTGAAAGCAGTTAAGTAGATGGATTGGAGGTGATCAGATGATAGGCAAAGAAATCAGTTTGCTTGGTTCCTTTCAAATGTTTTGACCACATGGAGAAGAATACAAAGATGTGGATGTACACGTAAAGAAATGAGAGTCATGCAACAGTATTTACCTGTATTGTGTAGAATGTATTCTGAAGTTTTCTGTTCCAAAATGCTGGTTTTAACACATTAAATTGTTTTTACCAACTAAAGACTTGCAGCCTGTACTTTTAAAATGCTTCAGAGACTTGGAGTTCAGCAGAAGATGGTGGGTGTCTAAATCAAGGGAAGCAGCACTGAAGGAGAGGAGGGAGCGGATAGATTTCAAAGTTATTTCAGAAGTAGAATGAAAAGGGTTTAGTAACCTAGCCTAGAGGTGATAAGTTTAGGTTGAATTAGCAGGTTACCTCATTGAATGACTGCACTCATAAACGAGATTATATGGCAGAGACTAAAAACCAAAATATCATTGTGTATCATGACTGTGGATATCGTGTTCAGCTGATGTAGGTTTTTAATTATTTTTTTATATAAATTTAAATGCTTATAATTTGCCACAGGTGCCATTATTTATTCATGATCTGCCTTGTCCCTGGAATCTAGGAAATGTTGACAAATGGTGGTGACTGTGAGATCAGTTTGGATTACGTGGCACTGAAGCTGCCCCCTTGGGTGTCCCACTGAAGCTATTCAGAAAGCTGTTAATAACTCTTGTGGGTCTGTAGCTCGAGAGAGAGAGATGGGCTTTTCAGTTTATTCATGATAATTACAGCTGAGGCAGTAGATGAAATCTCTGAGGGAGAGGAAGCAGAGAAGGAAGATAGCAGGAGGTAAACAGAACTCTAGGAAGCACCTGTACTTGAAGCAGAGGGAAGAGAATGAAGCCAACAAGAGGAAACAGAACAAATAATCAGAGATGGTAAAACTAAGAGAGTGGTATCCTGGAAGGAAAGGATGAGACATTTTTGAGGGGAAAAGAGGAGCCAGCAGTACTGATTGTACCGAGTTGTCAGTGAGATGGAGAGTGTATTGACTATGGCATATAGGAGAACTTTAACCTTTACCAGACTAGTTTCATTGTGGTAGTAAGGACAGAAGTCTACTTTCAATGAGTTAAAATGTGACCCAGAGACAAAAAATTGAAGACAGTGAGTATAAACTATTCTTTCTTGAAAGTTGGTGTTAGAAGGAATGCCAAAGCCCTGGGGGAAAAAAAATGAGGAAGATGGGCTGGTTGCCTCTCTTCCTCAGAGCCCATAGGTGATAATATGTGACCCACAGCCCCTCCATGGTATGTAACTTGGTGGTGGTGTTTTCTTTCAATTCTTAGATTTAATCATAAGATGAGTTTAGCTATGTTGATGGGAGGTTTTGAGGTGAGATGGACCAAAAGAAAGGTTTTAAGAGATATGCAGTTGTGAAATACAGTCTGACTATTCACAATGGAAGGATTTTGTTTCTCAGTAGAAGAGTAATGCTCTGCATTTGATGAGCCCTTTTGCTGTATTTCCCCCTGTCTCTCATGTTGATGCCCTGCTTTTAAAGTCTCAGGTAGCTCGGGGATCCCATGAAGGTTGCTGCCATGGTCCTCTCATGCTCCGACTTTTCTCTCTGAGTCCTCAGCTACTCCGGTACCAGAGACCTTATGTTCCTTGCCCTCAGGCAACTAGACTCATCCTTAAGGCAGCAGCCTGAGAGCTGATGCTCATCGGTAGCTTCTAATTTATCTTCACCAGGCATAAATGTCACTTTTCAGACCTAAAATCAAGCTCAGAGCTGATTTTGACTTCTTTGCTATTCCAGGTAAAACATTTGACCCTAAACTTTTCTTAGACATCTCCAAATAATATTGATTTTTATGATATACAGAATGAAGTAGGATAGATTTTGTCTATATGTATTTTTAAACTTCTTAATGATGTTTTAATCTATAATTCACTTAACATTTTTGTTATCAATTTACAGTTATACTTTACAGTGTATTGTCCTATGTCTGTTTTCACCTAGGAGTCATTCATTTTGATTCCTAACAATGACATTTATATGTCTACGTATCCATGTGGCATGGGGTGTATGTATTCATAAAAAGGAAAAACGTGTATGAGTTGTCTTCATTAGGCTCACATTCTGCTTGCTCACCCTCTTTCCATTACTGTTTTGAACCTGCAGCTGTTTTTCCATTATGTAACTGTACTGCATTCCCATTTTAGATCCAACTGAGGAGCCAGCACCACAGGCCACCAATACAGTGGGTTCTGTTATTGGAGTAATTGTTACCATCTTTGTGTCTGGAACCATATACTTTATCTGCCAGAGGATGTTGTGTCCGCGGATGAAGGGCGATGGGGAAACCATGACTAACGACTATGTAGTTCATGGACCAGCTTCCGTGCCCCTTGGTTATGTGCCACACCCCAGTTCTTTGTCAGGATCTCTTCCAGGTGAGCCAGGACTGACCCACTGAGAATCAAGTCTTGGCAAGATTGCCAAGCTTCCATTATGAAAACAGAATACTGCCTACAGTCTACTTCAACATAGACTATCTTGGGTGTAAACAGTTACAAGGACAAATGTTCACTTACTTTTAGCACCTTCTTTTTACACAGAAGACCTTAGGTATGGTTTGGTAGAAGTTGGCAAAGGATACAAAATGAATACATGTACATACAAGCATTTACATTAATATATCATACAGTTATTGCATGCACACTTCATTTCTGGGCTTCCCAGGTGGTGCTAGTGGTAAAGAACCTGCCTGCCAGTGCAGGAAATGCAGGAGACACAGGTTCGATCCCTGGGTCGGGATGATCTAGAGGAGAACATGGCAATGCATTCCAGTATTCTTGCTTAGAAAATTCCATGAACAGAGGAACCTGGCAGGCTACAGTCCATGGGGTCACAAAGAGACTGAAGTGACCTAGCACGCATGCACACTGCATTTCTAGATGTGCTCTACTAAAGTTAATCAACTGGCCATTTGTTGAAAAGAATCATAAACCACAGTTCTTTTGGTTCACTACCAAGAGACCTGTACTACGGAGCCCAGAAATTACAGGAGGCTGAAAAAACAGATGAGGTTTCCTTTTCTGCAGATTTAGAAATGCCTGATTGATAGCAGGGAGGAATACATCATCTTATGTTTTCTTTAACTTACATGAAGACTGTGGGAGGAGGATTTATTCAGGCATGGCCAGGGTGCCAGATGTTCTGTCCTTGGGGAAGACTTCCTCTAGGGAAGTACAGCTTTCTTTCAATGTGTTTTGGTACCCTTAATGAAAAGAAACCTTTCTTGTAATGAATATGGAAAAAGAGATACCAGGCCGAAAACCCTGTGAAAATAACTTACTCTGGATGTTAGCTGTAAGGAAATAGATGGTTTTTAAATTGTTAATGATTCCCTGTTGCCATACCTAGTTTGTTAAAGGTGGAATTTGGGAAGTCACTTGTGAAAAATAGAATTTCTTCTTTAGCATTGTGGTTGTGATTACAACATCATTTGCATCCAGTAGATAAAGAAATAATTTCCCATACGCTGAATTTATGCTCTTAACAATGGGTTTGCTTTTCTTGTGAGCAGATCTATTGCTTTGTCTAGCCTGCTTTGCACTTCTGCTCTTCACAGTTCTTTTTTCCTCAGGTCCTCTAAGGGCCTGAAAACCTCTTGTCTTGAAGAGCTCTGCTTCCCCTCTGGCGAGCAGGGAGGGCCAGGAGCTATTCTTGGCCTTGTGTTATAGGCCAGCTCTCAATGGAAGTGCCCACTTCTAGAGAACATTGGTTTGCCTTTTCCATTAAGTATTTTCATTATTATTGGGAAAAGAGGGCATAAGTTGTTTGAAAATGGAGCTATTTGACTATTGATATTTGTAATTTCTAGGACTGAATAAAATGATTCCATGCCTTCTATAGATCTTACTCAACTTCAGTATTTTTCATTTTAGGAATGTCTCGTGGTAAATCAATGATCAGTTCCCTCAGTATCATGGGGGGGAGCAGTGGACCCCCTTATGACCGAGCCCACGTCACAGGAGCATCGTCAAGTAGTTCATCAAGCACCAAAGGCACTTACTTCCCTGCAGTAAGCAGCCTGTTTTCCTCTGTTCACTTTGAATGCTGAGATAAATAAGATCTTAGATGTTTAACTTATTTATTAAATATGGGTACTTAGTGATGGTAGTATAAAAAGGTTTTAATGTAGAATCTAGACATACAAGGCCCAAAGGATTTACCACCACCATGTGAGCACTTAGAATGTGCTCAACTTATTGACTGTGTAGCAACCAGCATATTTGAAAGTATGGGATGTTAATTTCATATACCAGGTGAAAGTAGAACTATTGAATAGTACCTCCTGAGAGGCTCAGGACTGTCATTCTGTGACCTCCCAAAAGAAGGAAGTACATGTGGTATTTCTCCTAAGTAAGTAATCTTTCTCTAAACATTTATACTTTTAAAAATCAGAACCCAGTTGTGCTACACTTAAACCAGTAACTTGTAGGTTGCAGATTTCCTTCTCATCACCTTGTGTTACCCCTAAATGTGTCTTGAGGGATGGAGAGCCACAGTCCTAAAGTTCTGTTTTAGGTTAATTCTTTGAAAAAGAGGAAGAGGAATATGAACAGAGATGAAGGAAGAGAAGTTGAGAAAAGGCTAATAGTCTCTGTCTGGATAGACTATTCTTATCTCAGTCATTTGATTTTCTTTCCTTTTAGATTTTGAACCCTCCGCCATCCCCAGCCACAGAGCGATCACATTACACCATGGAGTTCGGTTATTCTTCAAACAGCCCTTCAACTCACAGGTCCTACAGGTAATACACATCCTCCTCCAGTGTAAGTCCACATATTTATTAGAAGGAAGTGTTTGTGTTGTGAGTTTGCTGTGGCCGTGGCTGAGTAGCTGGTGGTCACCAAGAGAGAATAGGTATCTTGTAGAGAAGAGGCATCTTGTCTGGGTAATGCTGGTATTGCCTCTACCACAAACCCTTTTCTTTCAGGGCATTAGACTTCCTTTAATTAACATATCATTGATGCACAATGTTATGTAAGTTGCAGTTATGTAATGTAGTGATTCACAGTTTTTAGAGGTTTTATTCCATCTGTAGTTATTACAGAATATTGGCTATAATTCTATGTTGTACAGTATATCCTTGTAGCTTACTTTACACCTAATAGTTTATACCTCATTCCCCTGCCCTTTGATTTCTTCTTCCCACTTCCCTCTTCCCAGTGGTGGTCACTAGTTTGTTCTCTATGTCTGTAGGCCTGCTTCTCTTTCTGTTATTTTCACTGGTTTGTTGTATTTTTTGGATTCCAAGTATAATTGATATCACACCATATATGGCTTTCTCTGTCTGAGTTATTTCACTTAGTGTATCCTCCAAGTCCATCTATGTTGTTGCAAGTGGCAAAATTGCACTCTTTTTCATAGCTGAGTGTAGTCCACTGTGTGTGTGTGTATGTGTGTATACATACACTACATCTTCTTTATTCATGTGTTGATGGACACTTAGGCTGTGTCCATATCTTGGCAATTGTAAATAATACTGCTGGAAATGTTGAGGGGGTATGTATCTTCTCAAATTAGTGTTTTCAGTTTTCTGGATGTATACCCCAGAGTGGAATTGTCATGTCATATGATAGTTCTATTTCAGTTTTTTGAGAAACAATGGCTGCATCAGTTTGCATTCCCACTAATAATGTAAAAGGATTCCCTTTTCTCCACATCCTGCCAGCACTTGTTATTTGTGTTCTTTTTGGTGATAGTCGTTCTGACTGGTGTGAGGTGATAACTCACTGTGGTTTTGATTTGCACTTAGCTGATAAATAGCCACATCAAGCATCTTTTCATGTGCCTATTGGCCATCTGCATTTCCTCTTGGGAAAAATGTCTGTCTGTTCAGGCCTTAAGGGAACTCTACATTTTTTAAAGAGAGCTGCAAATTTTTTTGTCCCTGGCTTTTGTAGTATTAAGATAGAGCCTCCAGGTTTTGGCAGGAAAAGTTACCCCCAAAGTGACTTGATTTCAGAATATGTTACTGCTGAGGTTAGGTTTGATTGATCATCTCCAGTAGAATGTTGGTATGAGACGGAGATCCGGAGAATTAGGAGAGCTCTAAAATAGCAGGAGTATTAAGGGCACAGAATTTGAGAGAAGCTCAAAGAAGCTTAAGTTCAGCTTTTGTTACATATGTTGTTACTACAGTCTGGAGTGAAAGGTTTCTCATATAGTTACATGGAATAAATCATGACTCAGTGAAATAAACTGGAGTGTGTTCCAGAAGGGGGGAGATATTATGCCTTTGTGCTGATTTGTGACTCTGAAGCAGAGTGAACAGGTTCCGTCCTAGTGTGTCCTCCTTACTCTTTGGCCAACAGAAAGTCAGAAACTTAAGATTCTCTTCAGACACTTAGTGCCGGGGTTTATTGGCATCACTCAAGTGGCCATTGTCTTCTTGATAAGGTGTTTCCTGGCATTCCAGTCGGTTTCCCTGATGTATATATAACCTTATAGATGTGTAGAAATGAAGTGGAAACTGTTTATACAGTATCTCATTCAGAATCCTCATGTCACTTCATGGATAAGATAGGTTTGACTCTGAACTGGTTGATTTTATGTTTTACTTAAAGTGTTGCTTTCCCTACCCCAGGTTTGTTCTAAAAAGTCAAAATAGAAAGGCAGAAACCTGAACACTGAAAAAACAAAAGGAAAGAGCTAAAATTTTACTTTTAAACAATTTCTTTAAATTAAACGTTGTTTGATTCAGGTAAACATAATTGCATCAAAAACAGTTCTTTTTATGAAAACTTTGAAACTTTGTCTTGGACTGTAGCTGATTAGTAGTGTTATGTTGTGATGGTGGCATGTGCACGGCAGACTCGGCCATGCACACGCCTGTTCCCACCCTCCCCCAAACTTCCCTCCCATCCAGGCTGCCACGTGGCATTGAACAGTTCCCTGGGCTATACAGGAGGTTCTTGGTTAACCGTTTTAAATACAGCAGTGTGTTCACGTCCATGTCAAACTCCTCATCTGTACCTCCCTCCCATGGTCTGTGTTGTATTTCTCCAACCCCCTACCTCTGCCAGCAACGCTAAGTTTGTTCTCTATGTCTGTCTGTCTCTGAAAAACAGTTCTTATTTGACTGTTTCCCACATCTCAAATTAAGCCCAGTTTATTTCTTCAAAGTAAAACTTTTTATCACTTAAATTTTCTTGGGGATGGGAGAAAGTTTGCAAAACTTGATACATTTTGTTAATCTATTTCCTTTTTCTCCTCTGGTGTCTTTTTTTTCCCCCCTCCTCTCCTGTGGAAATGGAAGTATTGGGCCTTTTAAATGTTGAGCCAAGAAATTTCACCAAGGCTCACCACCTGATTGGACAGAAAGATAAGACCTAAAAAATACTGTGACATCTTGTCAATACTGGTAGTAAAAGTGCTTGAGAACCTGCTTCTCAGGTCATGTAACTTTTGGTCTTTTATAGCCATTTCTTTTGATACAGAGGGCTTGCCTCAAATGGCATGTATCCTGAGGTGTGTTACCTGGCACATCCTTAGATGTTTTATATATTGTTGCTTCAGTTTTACACTTGCTCTTGCCCCACTGTTGGCAGTCATTTTATTTGATGAGAAAGCATATAAATAAATCCTGATTGGGATAAATATGAAATAAGATCAGCTTTACTATACTTAAGACTATAAAATGGTATAAGAAGTTACAGTAGAAAAGATGGGAAAATCAACACTTCTTAAGTCAGCTCTTAATTTTACTAGTACATTTCTCTTTTCAGTGTGCCTTTGTCTTTAGTTAGCCATGCTACAAACTTAACAGTTATAGACTGCTTGAAAAGATAGTTTAAAGGGTGTACAAAAATAAATTAGGTCTCTGAAATACGTTTTAGAAAACTCACTGGTTCTGTATGGATACCTGGAATTTGTCATTTTGGTGTTCAGTTAGAGCTGCTCTTATGACAACATGCTTGTCTACATACAATATAGGAAATTGACACTGCTTCCCCCAAATCACGGTAATTTCCCTGTACTGATAGTATCTGTAATGGGGTAGATATGTTCCTTAGGCTGTCTACCAAACTTCAGCCTGGCTTGTACAGTATATGTACAAGAGAGAATGAAGTAAAGAGAGTAATGAAGTCTTTGGTCATCATTAAATTATTCATCAGGTAAATCATAGAGTGTTTGAGGAATGTTCAGGGAATACTAACATGTTTGAGTAATGTAAAATCATAAAGACACGTTCTCACAGATCATGGAAAGGCAGAAATTGATGTCCACTATACAGACTAAATGCAAAATGAGAGATTTTTCCAAAGATGACCGTTAAATACAACTTTGAATAGTTCCTTCTTACTGATACAATGTTACTTAAAGATGTTGTTTTTTAGTCACTAAATCTAGTCTGACTCTTTATGATCCCATGGACTGCAGTCTGCCAGGCTCCTCTGTCCATGGGATTTCCCACACAGGAATACTGGAGTGGGTTGCTATTTCCTCCTCCAGGGGATCTTCCCAACCCAGGGGTCGAAGGCGCATCTCCTGCATTGCAGGCGGATTCTTTACTGTGGAGCCACCAGGGAAGCCCAGCTTAAATACATAAGCATACATCCAGAGGTTAGAATGGGTTCATCATTCACAAGATAATGCTGTCTTCCTACTTCAGCCTGCCGTTGAAAATTGCCTCTTGGTTGGTGCCAGTTTAAATTGTCATAGTTGGTTGTCTTCCAGGTCAGGTTCACATTAATGCCTCTGTGTTTGGATAGAGAAACCACTCTTCTGTAAAACTAATTCTGCTTCTCCCGCTTTCTTCCCTGTATCAGCTACCGGCCGTACAGCTACCGGCACTTTGCACCGCCCACCACGCCCTGCAGCACAGACGTGTGTGACAGTGACTATGCCCCCAGCCGAAGGATGACCTCCGTGGTGACGGCCAAGGGCTACACTAGTGACTTGAACTATGACTCCGAGCCTGTGCCCCCACCTCCCACGCCCCGAAGCCAGTACCTGTCAGCAGAAGAGAACTATGAAAGCTGCCCGCCTTCTCCGTACACGGAGAGGAGCTACTCCCATCACCTCTACCCCCCGCCACCTTCTCCTTGCACAGACTCCTCCTGAGGGGGGGCCCTCCTCCTCTGACTGCCTCCAACCCAGAAGTGTAAATACGAGTTTGGTTGAGATCTGGAGGGGGGGGAGGGAGCTATCAGTGAAGGATGAGGCAGACCGTGTACAGTTAAAATTATAAATGGGGTAGGGGAAACTGGAGATATTTGTACAGAAGGAAAAGATATTTATATATTTTCTTAAAATAGCAGATTTGCTGCTTGTGCCATAAAAATTTGTATAAATAATAAATTTGTACTAAAAGTTTTATTTTTGCAAACTAAATACACAAAGCATGCCTTAAACCCAGTGAAGTGACTGAGTACAAAGGAAACAGGAATTTAAAAAATGGCATCACTGACCAGGAATGTCTGGGGCTTTATTGATACCAAAAAAAATTTTTTTTTTTTTTTTTTAAAGAAAGCAAAGAAATTAAAGTCCATCTCAGCAGCAGACCATATATACTCGGAAGGAGCCCAATGGCCTTCACATTGACTACCATTTGAATGCCAACAAGTTTAAGAAATGAAAGGCAAAAGAAAAGAATACTAATTTTGGACAAAAGGCTTTGTTTTCTCTAGGGGTCCAATAATCTTAGCGAGGAAGATAGATATTTCTAAAAATTCATTCGGGGTGCTGCTGTTGTGGGAGAGAGGAGCTGTCTGGTAAGATGCTATGGGGCCATTTTGTTTGCAAGTCTTCTGTCCCTATCTTAAAAGTCACCCCTCTGTCATGGGTGATTTCACCTTGCTTCCTCCCTTAGCATTATATTTTGCCAAGGTACCATAATTTATTCACCATAAAATCTGGGGATTGATTAAATAGAATTTGCTAAATAAAAGTTTTGTTTTAATATTTCTACTAACTCCATTCCCCAGTCAGCTTAGCTCTTCAGTTGGACTGCTGTGTCTGCATAAGGATCAAAGGTTAGACAAGTTACTGTTCCTCTTTATTCCAAGATTGTTTTAATGCTCAATACAGTGTCTTTTTACAGCACACATAGAAAGTGTTTAAGAGTTACAAATTTAACCATTAAGTTTTTGTTGTAAATTAATCATATATCCTTGCAGTACTTTCAGCATATAATATCACAGTATGAAATCATTTTTATATATATTTTTTCCTAGTAAAACATTTAAATATGTTCCGGTTAGAGACAGTCTATTTTAAAAGAGGATTTTTTTTGTTATCGTTAGGTTTTCCCTTTATTAGTTGTTGGTGACATTTTCATGTTCTTTAGGCTGATTTTTCTCGGAATGATCTCTACACACATAACTTCTTTCTAATGTGTGGCGTGAGTTGAATACAGTATCTTTCTGTTAACCTAATGTGAATATTAGATTGTTTTCAAATTATCCATGAATTACTCTTATAATCACCTCTTATATATTTTTACGTGTCTTCTCTCTTACTCCATTATGGATTAAGGTGATTTAACAAATTTAACAATATGGCTTACATGAGAAGGAAAACTATGAACTTTTCAGCTGTTGGAACTTGAGGGGGATAATTTAAGGCTGTTCCGTGCTCTGCCTGTCCCGTGTGGTACTGGGGCTGCTGCTGCTTCCACTGTCAGGGCTGACCTGTGAAACTATGCTGGCTCTGCTCTGCCACCTTGCCAGAAGTCAGTTTCCTGCTTTTTCACATGTTTCCGGCGTTTCTCTGCTAAAGTTGAATGTGTTTTTAAACTAATGTATTTTTACCTTAACAGATGTTGGTCAGTTAATGAATGATGATTTTTTTTTTTTTTTAATTCTGTTTTGCTGAGGCCACCCTGTTTAGATTTCAGGGCCCGAGAGAAAACAATGGAAGAAAGGATTTATAATTTTGGTGGAGGTAAACTAACTTTTTAATCAATTAAAAATACCTAAGTAGTCTTTTTAAAAAATGCGGTTTCAGAATATCACATTGGTTATTGGGGTACCTTATATGAATCTGGTGCACTTGATTTTGCATATAAATAAATGGTAATCCATCAGTGTCTTGCATTTCAGTCAGACGAGCATTAACTCTTCCTGTTGACGGAACAAAGTGCTCAAGTTCTAACGAATGGAAATTGAAGTTGCATTATGTGACACACAGAGGCACTTGATGCTCACATGAAGATGGAAAGGTTGGCAATAACTGGGTATCAATTAAAATATGAGAATTCTCGATGTTTACATTTTTTAATGTGCATCTTTATCTGGTGGGCTTCCCATGTGGAAACTTGCACTATAATGAACTAAGGAGAATATTGCCTTGTTAAATCTCAGTTCAAGTGCTTGTACTGCGATGGCAATGGCCTCTTCTTGCAAAATACTAATTTGTGTGCCAATTTGTTTGAAATTATTTGAAGGCAGTTCAGCTTAGTCTCAGAATCCTCTTTCTCAATATTTGGGATGGAGTCTTAACATTTTGGGGAATATTTGAAAGGTACAGTTTGAGAAAATTGTCAAAATTCAGGATGGATTTATTGGTCCTCAGGTTGTATGGACAGTTAAGCTTTAAAGTAGACCATCTTGTTTATTAAACACAAGATCTTTAATTGGAAGATAAAAAATTAACATGTGAGCACAAATCAGGGGAGAAAAAACAGTTTTGAATTTGTATTATTTTGAATTTTTGAATTTGGATTATTGCTAGATGCATTAGCCATGCTGAGGGGCAGTGAATAAAATTTCATTATATTCCTTAAATATAGTAGTATTTGCTGTGATTGTATATCTTGAAGTGAGCCCACTTAGTGATGTGATTAAAGTGACCTGAGAATTGAACTTTAGCAGAACATACTTTCTGTGCACTGCAGTAAGCTTTTCTTCATTGAAGTGGTCTCTTGTACTTCTAAACTTTTATAACCTTGAACTTGGCTCTTGCAGAGCTCTGGTTTTTTGAACACTGGCCCAAAGAATTTTGCTGCTTATATCAGATAATGGCATATTCACAATTAACAAAAAAGCAGTTAAGGCATAGAATTTTCTCAATAGTGATTTTTCTCTGGGGAAATTTTACTATGCATCTGACACTTGCTGTAAATCTAGCATATCATGAGATATTACATGTTTAGCAGAAAATTATCATTATTTTAATTTTAATACAAAAATACTCTGATGTACCCCACCAAAAGATATCTGACCCTTTAGTCAGCTTGAGAGCAGCTGTTCTGAAAGACTCATACATATTTAGAAATGAAGACTTTACAGTACATTTTTATCTAATATAGACCATTAATTGGGATGGGCTTTGAGCAGAGGATTGACTTTGTTCATCATTTTAAAATATTCCAAAGTCAATAATTTGTATAAGACCAACTCATTTGATACTAAGATAAAGAAATAGCCACTGTCTGCATTAGGTTGCAGTCAGTTTGGCAGGGAAATTTGTTTTGCCATAAAGGCTCATTAATGAGTAATACTGCCAGTGGGTTTAATAGCTGTGTCTTATCTAACCTATTAATGAACTGTGTGTATTTATGTGACCTGATATCAATAATCATAGTATAGAGACTGTTTTTGGTACAGGAAAGGCCTGCCTTCAGCAAGCAAGCCTGGCTTTCTGCGATAGGCCTGCTGCTGTTGTTTTGTGCCTAGACTAGATTCTTAAAAAGTATAGCTTTTAAAATTGCTTTATCTCTTGCAGGGGAAAACTTGTTAGTTCATTGATTTTGCATGTCATAAAAGCAGCATGATGGTTATTACTATTACACATCTAACAAGATTCAGGAAAAAAAAACAAAAAACCTTGGCCTTTTTGTACTTCCCACGTATGTCATACTTTCAGTATGTGCAGTACTTCATTCTAAATAGTGACATGAGTAGTATGCCTGGAGTGTGGATATGAATTTGGGATTATCAGATGGCTGACAAATGTTTGAGCATCAATAAATGAGACTATAGACTAAGTGTAGACATGGACCAAGTCTTAAAGAAGTTCATAATCAAGCACTGTTTAATATATATTCTCAGAATTCTTAAACTTAAGAAATTTAATTTTGTTTGGTACTCCTTTCCTTATTTTACACCTAAAGTGAACCCAGAGAAATAACAGATAATTTTACAAAGTACTGTAGCATATGTATAGCTTACGACTTCTGGAATTGCATCATTTTACAGTAGGGCTCCAACTTTAGCTTTTGAAATTCTCAAAGGTTTTAAAGGATTTTAGACCCTAACGCATAACATGATTTTAAAATTGTGAATCCATATACTTGGGATATTTGACTGGATTCTGCCTCTTTTTCAACTAATACTATACCTGAATGGAGAGGGAGGAAGATTCTTCAGTTTATCTAGATGATTTAGAATGAAATTACTGACCTCATCCTTCTTCAGTTCAGGTGGATTTTATTGTTCTTCTTCTTTTTTTTTAATAGCCATTCTCAAACCATTCTTAAGTTACTGCTGAAAAAAAAGTCATCATGACTTTGCAGATACAATTATAAAGAAAGTGATGTCTTATACTCAGAAGTGGAATACAGACCTAATTAAAAAATAACTTAATTTTCCCATTATTTCGGGTTTGTCCAAAAGTTAACACCAAAGAATTATACAGTCTGCTTTGCTTAACTGTCCGTTCTTTAAGAAATAATTTTTTAAAAATCACATATAAGCAGGGCAGGGGTATAGATATATAGAAAGATATATATATATATATATATATAGAGAGAGAGAGAGAGAGAGAGAGATCTCTATATGTATCTCACTAAATACTAATGCCTAAGTAAGAATATTAAAAGGAAAATAAAACAAGTCTGATTAAGGTTACATGAAATTGAGTATCTAGGATTAGTTGAGAACATTTTAATGAGAGTAAAGAGGATACTGAGATGCTTAAGCTGGACTAGCCTTATTTGCAAGTGAAGGATCTGGTGCTGCTTTCAGATGTTTTATCCTCTGTGTTTTTAAATTTTTTAAGCTTTAATCTTCGTCATTGTCTTAAAGTCAGCTGGTGTTTCTTGTTCATGGACTTTGGTACGATGGTGCTTTGCAAGGATGTAATTATATTTTAATGACCAACATTTGGTCAGCCCTTGTCCACTATTCACTTCCCCCTTTTTGTAAAATAAGTGCTTTAATTTTAAACTGTATAAAAAATACCTTGTATAAATCCCCTTTTTGATTATTACAATAAGTTGAGTTGTAACAAATGAAATGTTGATTTTTATAATAAAACAGTGGAAAATAAAAGTGTCATTTCTTTTCAGCAAGAAATTAAAATGGTTGTGCTTTGCTGTGATAAATGAATGCTGTGTTTCAGACACAACAGAACTCACCTTTATTGTTTGCATTTCAAATAAAATACAACTTTGGAAGAGAGGTTTGAGAAAGGCTTTGCTTTGTGCAATGTTGACAGTACCTGGAATTGGGAACAAAATAAGGAAGATTTGAGTTGGCCTATCCTCTGCACAGCAAAGCCAGTCTACTGACACCAGCTTGTGGTAAAGGAAAGCACAACATTCATTTGCAGGGCGCCAAGCAAGAAGAATGGGCAGTTTGTGCTCAAAGACCCAAACTCCCCAGTGGCTTTCAGGAAAGGTTTTTTAAAGGCAACATTTGGGATAAGAACTGCAAAGGACTTGACTTTGTTCTGATTCAGTGCAGTTCAATTGCTCAGTCGTGTCCGACTCTTTGCGACCCCATGGGCTGCAGCATGCCAGGCCTCCCTGTCCATCACTGACTCCTGGAGCTTACTCAAACTCATGTCCGTTGAATTGCTGATACCATCCAACCATCTCATCCTCTGTCGTTCCCTTCTCATGCCTTCAATGTTTTCCCACCGTCAGGGTCTTTTCAAATGAGTCAGTTCTTCTCATCAGGTGGCCAAAGTGTTGGAGTTTCAGCTTCAGCATTTTCCAATGAATATTCAGGACTGATTTCCTTTAGGATGGACTGGTTGGATCTCCTTGCAGTCCAGGGGACTCTCAAAAGTCTTCTCCAACATCACAGTTCAAAAGCATCAATTCTTCGGTGCTCAGCTTTCTTTATAGTCCAACTCTCACATCCATACATGACTACTGGAAAAACCATAGCTTTGACTAGATGGACCTTTGTTGACAAAGTAATGTCTTTGCTTTCTAATATGCTGTCTAGGTTGGTCATAACTTTTCTTCCAAGGAGCAAGGATCTTTCAATTTCATGGCTGCAGTCACCATCTGCAGTGATTTTGGAGCCCAAGAAAATAAAGTCAGCCACTTTTTCCAGTGTTTCCCTGTCTATTTGCCATGAAGTGATGGGACCAGATGCCGTGAGCTTAATTTTCCGAATGTTGAGCTTTAAGCCAATTTTTTTACTCTCCTCCTGTTTCACTTTCATCAAGTGGCTCTTTAGTTTTTCTTCACTTTCTGCCATAAGGGTGGTGTTATCTGTATATCTGAGGTTATTGATATTTCTCCCAGCAATCTTGACTCCAGCTTGTGCTTCATCCAGCCCGCCATTTTGCATGATGTACTCTGCATATAAGTTAAGTAAGCAGGGTGACAATATACATTGTTGACGTACTCCTTTTCCGATTTGGAACCAGCCTGTTATTCTGTGTCCAGATCTCATTGCTTCCTGACCTGCATACAGATTTCTCAAGAGTCAGGTCAGGTGGTCTGGTATTCCCATCTCTTTTAAGTAATTAGCCTCTAACTAATTAAAAAAAAAAAAAAGAATTTTCCACAGTTTGTTCTGATCCACACAGTCGAGGGCTTTGGCATTGTCAATAAAGCCAAAGTAGATGTTCTTCTGGAAGCTCTCTTGCTTTTTTGATGATCCAGCAGTCATTGGCAGTTTGATTTCTGGTTCCTCTGCCTTTTCTAAAACCAGCTTGAACATCTGGAAGTTCATGGTTGACGTACTATTGAGGCTGGCTTGGAGAATTTTGAGCATTACTTTACTAGCATGTGAGATGAGTGCAATTGTGCTGTAGTTTGAACATTCTTTGGCATTGCTTTTCTTTGGGATTGGAATGAAAACTGACCTTTTCCAGTCTTGTGGCCCCACCCATCAACAGAAAATTGGGTTAAAGATTTACTGAGCATGGCCCCGCCCATCAGAACAAGACCCAGTTTCCCCCTCAGTCAGTCTCTCCCATCCAGAAGCTTCCCTAAGCCTCTTATCCTTCTCCATCAGAGGGGCAGACAGACTGAAAACCACAATCACAGAAAACTAACCAGTCTGATCACATGGACCACAGCCTTGTCTAACTCAGTGAAACTATGAGCGATGCTGTGTGGGAGCACCCAAGATGAATAGGTCACTGTAGAGAGTTCTGGCAGAATGTGGTCCACTGGAGAAGGGAATGGCAAACCACTCCAGCATTCTTGCCTCGAGAACCCCATGAACAGTATGAAATGGCAAACTCCAGAAAGAGTGAAGAGACGGAGCTAAAGCAAAAATAACACTAAGTTGTGGATGTGACTAGCGATGTAAGTAAAGTCTGATGCTGTAAAAAGCAATATTGCATAGGAACCTGGAATGTTAGGTCCATGAATCAAGGCAAGTTGGAAGTGGTCAAACAGGAGATAGCAAGAGTGAACATCAACATTTTAGGAATCAACGAACTAAAATAGACTGGAATGGGTCTAAATGGGACTAAAAGGGACTTGAATTTAAGTCAGATGACCATTATATCTACTACTGTGGGCAAGAATCCCTTAGAAGAAATGGAGTAGCTGTCATAGACAACAAAAAGAGCCCGAAATGCAGTACTTGGATGCAATCTCAAAAACGACAGAATGATCTCTGTTCATTTGCGAGGCAAACCACTCAGTATCACAGTAATCCAAGTCTATGCCCCGACCAGTAATGCTGAAGAAGCTGAAGTTGAATGGTTCTTGTGAAGACCTATAAGACCTTCTAGAACTAACACCCAAAAAAGATGTCCTTTTCTTTATAAAGGACTGAAATGCAAAAGTAGAAATCAAGATAACACCTGGAGTAACAGGCAAATTTGGCCTTGCACTACAGAATGAAGCAGAGAAAAGGCTAGTAGAGTTCTGCCAAGAGAATGCACTGGTCATAGCAAACACCCTTTTCCAACAACACAAGAGAAGACTTTACACATGGACATCACCAGATGGCCAACACCGAAATCATATTGATTATATTCTTTGCACCCAAAGATGGAGAAGTTGTATACAGTCAGCAAAAACAAGACCAGGAGCTGGCTGTAGCTTAGATTATGAACTCCTTATTTCCAAAATCAGACTTAATTGAAGAAAGTAGTGAAAACCACTAGACCATTCAGGTATGACCTAAATCAAATCCCTCACGATTATACAGTGGAAGTGAGAAATAGATTCAAGGGATTAGATCTGATAGAGTGCCTGAAGAACTACAGATGGAGCTTCATGACATTGTACAGGAGGCAGGGATCAAGACCATCCCCAAGAAAAAGAAATGCAAAAAGGCAAAATGGTTGTATGAGGAGGGCTTACAAATTGTTCTGATTGGTTGGTGGTAATGTAGCAATGGTGTTTCAGGAATCTCTGTCATCAACTTTGTGATACCACCAGTCTGGATTGTACATACTTGTAGTCAGCATGTGGTCACCATCATCTACCTGGATGGGAGGGTCTTAGTTTCTGTGGAATAACTCAGAGATAGGCATCATATTGTTATATATATCCTTGAGAAGGAGCTGTTTTATCACTGAGCTATTGTCATTCCTTTTCTTGCTTGACTGCTTTTCATTTATTTCTGCATTCCCCCACTTCCCTAATTAGCAGGAACTTTAGGAATTTCGGAGACAAGCCTTATTCTGCAGGCAAGAAACAGGAGGGCTCCACAGGGTCCAGCTCAGTTTCACAATTTGTGCTTCAGAATGCTTTTGTTTTTAGTAAATTCCTAGAAGACATCCTGATGTAGGCTCTGAGCCAACCCCTTCTCCTCCTCCAAATTCTCTTTAAAAATGAACGTTGCTTTTCCTTATGCAGAGCCCAATAGGATATGATGATACTGAAGGGTAGCAGAATATACCACTGCAAAATATGCCACTTTGCCATCTTGATTATTTTGATCAGTAGGCCCTTAAAAAAATAGCAAATGCCGAGAAAAGTTGTCTCTGAATTCCCATTATCTGCTTAAAGACAGATTATCTAAAAGGAACAAAATTGTCATAAATGATAAATTCCCTCCTCCGAGAGTTTCATCAACCAGGGAAAATTGACATCACAGGAGTTCAGTTCAGTCGCTCAGTCGTGTCTGGCACTTTGCAACCCCATGAACCACAGGACGCCAGGTCTCCCTGTCCATCACCAACTGCCAGAGTCTACCCAAACCCATGTCCATTGAGTCGGTGATGCCATCCAACTGTCTCATTCTCTGTCATCCCCTTCTCCTCCTGCCCTCAATCTTTCCCAGCATCAGGGTCTTTTCCAATGAGTCAGCTCTTCACATCAGGTGGCCAAAGTATTGGAGTTTCAGCTTCAACATCAGTCCTTCCAATGAACACCCAGGACTGATCTCCTTTAGGATGGACTG